GAACTAAGACTCACAGCAGTGAGGTAGAAGCTCAGAGCAGCTGCAGAGAATTATAGTTGGACAACCAGAGTCAGGGCAAAGGCAAACATGCAGATGATCCTGAGGTACAAGAGTCACAAATGGCCAGAAAAGACAAATTTCCCTATAACTAAACTTGCAATTTCATAAACAGAAACGGATCTTAGAGATTTCTTCTTCTTATTCTCTTGTATTTCCCAAACTTGCCTTGGGGTGTGTGTGTGTGTGTGTGTGTGTGTGTGTGTGTGTGTGTGTGTGTGTGTGTGTGTGTGTGTCTGCCAATGACTTGCTGTGATACCCAGAGCCAGAGCTACAGCCTTTGACTCTGTCCTTATCCCTAGAGGGGATGATGCCCTGACCTGCTTGTGAAAGGGAATGAAGGAGACAGCAGCGTTTGATACCATCAAGTGGGTTTGACCCTGCATCAATAGCTCCAAGTACATTATCACATTATCTCCCAATGACCACATACATAATTCCCATGAATTTAATTTTACAGATGAACTTTCCAAGATTCAGAGGTGAAAGAGCTGCTACTGTCATTCAGTCAAAAAGAAGAGCTGGATCCCAATTCAGTATATATGTGGTGGCGGGGTTTAACTCTAACCACTGCGCTCTTCTGCTTCCCTGTGTATCAGGCACTTGGAAGCTCCTGGCAGAGTGGTACCCACTTCTTCGCTCCTTATTATTTACTGTTTACAGAAGTAACAGTGTATGTGGTTTCTTTAAAGAGATCCCGCTATTTATTGTCTCTCTTCATCTCATGAAATCTCTATCGTTGTATACTCTTTCACCTGCTTTACAAATAATAAACTTAAACACAACAGTCTGCTGGAGCCACATGGGAGTCACTGACAAAACCTAATGAAAACTCTGGTCCTTTTACTTTAAAATAAACTTTTATCCCCTCACATGACACAGCCTCCATAATAAAGAACAGACTGTTCATTTTTTATCTGGAAAACTACCAAACGCATAATTCAGTAAGGGGCCTCATGACCCTACCACCTTGTCAAGGAGAAGAAAGTATATAAAAAATGAGGTTTGCAGGAGCAGAGGGTTTTGGTCTGTCAACTTTCTCTTGGATTACATCCATTAGCCAAGATAAAATAATGTAAAAACTAATGTAACGAACCCCACATCTTTGAAAACACAAGTTAAACACACCGACCCTTCAAACTCACATGCGACACACCAAGGGCAACTGTTAACTCCAGTGGGGTTGCAGAGATGTGTGTTGTGTCGATCCGAGCTTTCAAATGAAAATCTGACAAGCCTTCGGGCTGCTCTGAAAGAACCCAAGTCAACAGTGTACATCAGCAGCACAAGCTCACAGTGTTGCAAAATGAGGGGACTGCAAAGGGACCTGCAGACTGAGCACAGCCCTTTGATCTGGTCCATGAGGAAGACAAAGAAACGTGAAGTGGCCTGCAAGACTACGGACAGGAGATTACGAACCAAAGAATGAAGATGCTGCCTACAACCTAGTCCTCTTTTACTATGTAAAAACAATTTTTAAGTTTCTTTTATTTTTACTTACACGTATGTGTGTTTATTCTGTAGTCATATGCCAAATGTGTGGGTACTCAATGAGGTGAGAAGAGGGGGTCAGGCAGTTGTAAGATGTCTGAGAAGGTGCTAGGAACTGAACCTGGGTCCTCTGGAAGAACAGAAAGCACTCCTAGCTGCCGAGTCACCTCTCCAGGCCCTCCATTTGTAAATCTTGCTTCTGATAGTCATAATTACTTTCAGCACTTTCCAGAATTATTCATCTGAACAGAAAATAACAGAAAAACTCATGATTCTCAAATCCTGCCAGCCAATACTGGTCATGTGATCATGGGCGATCTCTATTTCTCAGGGCTTCAGGGCTTTTTGTTTGTATTGTGGGTCGCAGTAGTTTTCCCAGTAAGCTGGAGGTAATACAAACAAGGAGCCTGACAAATGTCCTAGGAGCAAACATAAGGTCTCTGTGTCCCTAGCAGAGCCCAGTATACATACATGCTCAGAAGATACTTCCCAAGCAAACATGTACTGAACTTGAACCCAAGTCCTTATGGCGTTCAACACAAGGTTATGTCCAGTTCACAAGATTTCAGAGCAGAGTGTTAATTTAGTTTTATACAGTATCAAGAACACAGCCATTTCCCTGGCCATACAGCACATAAAAGTTCAGTCGAGGAAGGTCTTCCTTTCCTCAGTGTTATGGCTGGTTCTCACAGCTGAGTGTGGTGGTGCACATCTGCACTCACAGTACTCTGAAGGCTGAGGCAGGATGATCTCAAAAACCTAGCTATGTAGTAAGACTTCATCATGAAAAAAAAAATCTTGATGCTATGATACTTTGTAACCAAGGAAACATGGGCAGCACTAGTTTACCTCTTAGAGCCTAAACTTTCCTCATTGGAAAAATGACGTTAAAAGGGTCATATAACAAGTGAAGCAATTCCTACAAAGAAGCACGGGAGGACAGGTGACACAGAAGGAACCCCAGCCATTCTATTTCCTCTCGTTACTGGAAGATGTCATTCATGTGCTTACATCGTTTGAATGTCCCTTCCTTCCTGAAGCTTGCTTCCATAAAGCCCCCAAATTTCTACTTTTATAAAGAAGATTTTTTAAAAATTCTCTGTATGTGTGACTGTCTGCATGAGTTAGTTCATGTGGCATATGCTCACAGGCCTGTGGCAGTCTGAATGAGAATGGTCCTCATGCTGTGCACATTTGGTCCCTGGTTGGTGGGACAGTGGAAGGATTCAGAGGTGTGGCCTTGTTAGAGGAGGTGTGGGTTGTTTTTGAGGTTACACAAAAGGCTCTGCCACCCTACTCTACACTCTGATTCCTGCTTGTGAGCGCTCACCTGCTATCCAGTGCCACCATGCTCCTGCCACAACGGAACAGGTCCCTGCCTCTCTGGAACCATCCGCCCATGTAGAGACTGCCTTAGTCATGGTGCTTTGTTACAGCAATAGTAACTGAGACAATGCCAGAGGGCATATCAGATCTCTCGGAACTAGGGATAAACAGTTGTAAGCTGCCTAATGTAGGTGCCAGACACTGAAGTCTGGTCCTCTGCAAGAGCAGTAAGTGCTCTTACCTGCTGAGCCACCCTGCCAGCCCTCCTCCAGCTCTTTGCCTTACCATTACCAGAGCTTATTATATCTGCTCAACTATCAGATGAGTTCCAGAGGAACAAGGAGTTTTGTTGCTTTGTTTACTGCTGTACCCCAATAATTAGGAAAGGACCTGGCCTACAGTTAGTATTTAATAAATATTTGTTGAATGGCCAGACGAAGTGACCCAGTGTGGGGCACTGTGTAGGAACGGGGCTTAGTTCTGCTGTGTAACCACGGGTCATGTCTCACTTGGATGCCATGACTCTACTGCTCTTTATATGTCCACTTCGTCCCCTAAATTTCTCGTTAATCAGAGACACTCCAAAGTCCCTGTCTCGTTACCATTAGAAGAAATCCCAGTTCCTCTCATGGCCGTGAAGCCTCCACCATCAGTACTTGAGGTGGTACTGTGTTCCCCAAAATATTGTACACCCTAATAAACTTATCTGGGGTCAGAGAACAGAACAGCCACTAGATATAGAGGCCAGAAAATGGTGGCACACATCTCTTTAATCCTAGCATTCCAGAGGCTGAAATCCATCTGGATCTCTGTGAGTTCAAGGCCACAATGGAAACAGCCTGGCATGGTGACACCTTTAATCCCAGGAAGTGATAGCAGAAAGCAGAAAGGTATTTAAGGCGTGAGGACGAGGAACTAGAGCTGGTTAAGCTTTTAGGCTTCTGAGCAGCAGTTCAGCTGAGAGGCATCCAGTTTGAGGAAACAGGACCAGCTGAGGAATTGGCGAGGTGAGGTAGCTGTGGCTTGTTCTGCTTCTTTGATCTTCCAGCATTCACCCCAATTCCTGGCTCCAGGTTTGTTTTTATTAATAAGACTAAGATTCGTGCTACAAGTACTAGTCCAGCCCTTGCTCTCACTGCCTTCTTGAGCTTCAGCACACCAGCTGCTTTTCTTTTACTCAAACATGTCACCATCTTGTGGGTTCTTTATTTTGAGGAAGAGTTTCGGTGTGTAGGCCAGGCTGGCCCTTGAAGTTGTGATCCTTCTGACTCTACTTCCCAAGTATTATCTTTTCTTTTTAAAAAAATGTAGCTTATTATTGGGAGTTGCTGCCACGGCCCATGTGTGGAGGCCAGGGGATAACTGTGTAGAGGCACAGTTCTCTCTTTTCACCGGTATATGGGCTTCGGGGATCAAACGCATTGTCAGGCTTCTAGGGCAAGGATTTTACCCACTGAGCCATCTCATGAGCCCTGTCTTCTCTTTCTAAATTTAGGAACAAAGATCTATTCTAATTCACTTAAAAATCCATTAAAAACATAACAAAAACCACTACTCGGGACTTATGCCTTTAATTCTTCAATTACCAAAGAGGAATGTAAAAATCCCGACAGGGGACGTGGGGTCAGAGCTGACAAGTGTCAAGCTGCTTGCTGAGCTGAAGCCTTTGTGCTTGCCACTCACCCTTCTTGGAGTGGTTCCTCCAGGCTGATGATTCCGCCTCATCATCTTCTCTCAGCAGAAACGTTAACTCCTTAAACGACATCCCCACGATAAAGCTGCCCTTCCCACTATCACGCCCGTCAATCACTCCCTCTTGAATACTGGTGGCTTTTCTTCCCTCCTAGAATTTATTTCATTTGACCTGCAATGACTTGGTGTGCTAAGTTGTCCTAACTTGCCAAGCAGAATATGTGAGGACAAGGTGTTCTACAAACTTACTGCTGTCGACCAGCATCTAGTACACAAGTCTGCATCAGCAAACTGATCTCATAGCATAGCCAGGATGAAAGATACAGGTAAGGGAGCCACACCATTGGCCCAAGAATGTCTCAAGGTACTACTAGTTTCCATCCAAAGATAACCATCCCGCGTCATTGAAAAACATGGATTTCAGCCAAACTTACTTAGGAATAGGTACCCGAATTAGTGTCCCTTCCACTTCTGGGTTCAGATTCATTCCACTTTCTCTTATAGCCTTGATAGCTGCAGCTGTACACTGAAAACCAGATCAAAAGGTAAACAGAATTAGTAAATAATTATTACCAGATGCAAGCCCTCTGTCGATAACTGGCAACCCATCTTGGCAGAACATGGAAACATTTAGTTCTGTTACCAGTAAGATCAGGAAGTTACACTGGTGTAGAGTGCTTTGATCAAGCTGAATAGCAAGCCATGTCCACTCCTGGTACCAGTGTACTGCGGAAGGAAAAAAAGAAAGGGAAGAAAAAAGAAAAAGAAAACAGCTCTGCTTCTTTGAAAAGATTTCAATGGTTTGAGGCAACACAGATCAAAACCACAATAAATCCTCAAGGGAGGAGGGCTGGTCTGTGCAAAGATTGGTGTAAAGACAGATGAAAGATTTCATACGTTAAAAATTCCAGTTGACATTTTACACTCAAAATATACCAGTGCCAGTTTGGAATGAGTAAATAAATTTAACTCATTCGCATCTACACTCATACCAAACTCACTCATGCTTTGGAATAAGCAGTAAACCTCCACTGGTGTGCACCACAGCAAAGGCGGAGTGATAGGAGAAAAGCATGGGTTTTGGAATCATAAAAACTTCAGTTTAAATCCAGCTTTGGGACCACATACCCTGAGCAATAAATCTGAACATTCATAATCTGAGATGATATGGTACCTAAACATCACAAAAACAATGAGATAATGAAAGCAATGTATCCAACTCAGTGCCTAGCACACAGTTAACATCCAATCAAGAGCAGCTATCGTATGAACAAACCATATCCATGTATTGAAAATGTGTAAAGTCCTCAAATTAATGGCGGAGTTAATGTAAAGATTATACTGACACACTGCTGTCCTCCTAACATCCTTCAGGAACTTCGCTTACAGGCTCACTCACTGGTAAACAGATTTCCTAAATGTCCAACCTCATACTTTAACAATATGCTGACTGCACCTTATATCAATCCTAAAGGCAACAGGAAGGGGGTGGAAGACATGGACTCACAAGAACAAGGCTTCTGACATGTTCCAGAGCTGATCCTTGCCATCTGAACTCAAAGGCCAAGTCCTGTCCTTGAGTTCCTCCAGCTTCACGTCTGAAAGGCATGGAGGGTGGTACACACCTATTTTACTTTTCCAAGCATTTCACTGTTACTGTTTTAGCAGAGGTATCTAAAAACTTACTCATTCCATCTTTAAATGGCCTTAATTCTACACCTGTATGAAGTCAAAACGACAAACCAGAACATCTACATACAGATGTGTAGAACCTAAGTGTGTACAGAATATAAGTATTTACAGTAAGTGTTTTAAATGGTGCCTCAGACCATAGGCTCTCAGTGTTAGAAAGGGGTCTCTGACATAACCAAGCACCACCTATTTATTATGAACAACAGGTCTACAGGGTATATTCACATCCTTTAGAATAGACAGCCCAAGAAAGATGCAATAAAGAGACAACCTATCAAACTTCAGTTACTCTCAGGGGTAAGGAGAGGCTGAGCTGCATTTAGTCTAATGTGACTTTGTCTTTATTCTTTTTAACAGATCCTCAACTCAATGTATTCAGTAATTACTACATAAAGAAATGAACAACGTGTGTGTGTGTGTGTGTGTGTGTCGATTGAGCTGGAGAGATGGCTCAGCAGTTAAGAGCATTTGCTGCTTTTACAGAGTACCCAAGTTTGGTTCTCAGCAGCTCACAACCACCTGTAACTCCAATTCTGGGAGACCCAATACCATTTTCTAGTCCCTGTGAGTACTGCATGCACACGGTGCACACATAAGCAGACGACACACTCATACACATAAAGTAAAAACAAACAGTAGGCAAAGAAATAAAGTAAATCTCTCTCTGCAGAGAATGACCACCCTTCATAAAACCATTCATAGAGTTAAAAGCAAAGGGCGAGCCCTCGCTTTAAAGAGGAAGCTTTATCTCCCATCCCCCAACCTTCCATAGCTTCTCGCTCCATAACCAAGGAAACACTGCTCTGACACCCTATGTCTCAGTGCTGTGAAGACACACCATGACCATGACAACTCTCATAAAGGAAACCAATTACTTGAGGTTGGCTTACAGCGTCAGAGGTTCAGTCCATTATCATCATGGTGAGAAGCACTACAGCATGCAGGTAGACATAAGGAGCTGAGAGTTCTAAATCTTAATCCACAGGCAGCAGAAGGAGACTGTCACACTAGGCCTAGCTTGAGCATATGAGACCTCAAAGCCTGCCTCCAGAGTGACACACTTCCTTCAAAAAGGCCACACCTACTCCAACAAGGCCACGCCTCCTAAAAGTGCCACTCCCTAAGGATCAAGCATTCAAAATACATGAGTCTTTGGGGGCTATACCTATTCAAGCCACCACACCCTACTATCACCAAACTCCTTTTCAGTCTGGTCCAAGTAGTTCATGCAGCCTTCCCCTGTAGGTACAAGAGTACTCACTACCGGGCTGGAGAGATGGCTCAGTAGCTAAGAGCACTGACTGCTTTTCCAGAGAACCTGAGTTCAGTTCCCAGCACCCACATGGCAGCTCAAAACTGTCTGTAACGCCAGCTCCAGGGGACCCAAAACCCATGGCAAAACACTAATGCACATAAAATAAGTACAAGAGTACTCGCTACCAACATCAAGCTAGGCAGGAGTATGTCTCACTATTTGCACCTTCACAGTGGAAGGCACAGCTCCAGTGAAGTGCTAAGCAAGTGTGCAGTAAAAGCTTGAATGACTACTATTAGTAATCCTATTTAAACCTATTAGAAAATGCATTTCTTGACTTTATTTCAAAACCTTATTTTACATTTAGTTTTTGTATGTCTTCATATTCAGGGAAAATGTTAGCTGAGATTTCCCATAAAGAAACTTACCGAAAGTAAGTCTTCTAATTTTTCTAGGTATGTATATTTTCGTTTGACACAAAATCATTTATTATGATTATAACATTTATTTATAATATAGTTATTAATATGATTATAATAATTTCCCTAACAGTATGTTTAAACTATTCATGGGTCAAACAAAAAAGGCACACACAGATATACAATACCATCCCTTATTTTTCGCCTTTACTCCATCACTGGAGGGGGACACTCACCGGCATCACAAGGCAGACTGGTTACTCTGCTCTCAATACTGACTGACTGGTTATGGCTGCTGGAATACTGTGTATTGAAAAAGATCACTGACCCCATTTGGAGACCAGCAGATAAAAGTTCCACTATCAACTAGCAATGCCTGCCCTTGTTATTCTTAAGCTAATCCACAATAATGGACAAGGGATGGCAACATGTCTGTACATAGGTAAACATATTCTTGAGAATTCAGAGTCAACTGTTAGTACCTTATCAATTACTGGCCTTACATTTCTTTATACCTCAGTGAGTCTCTAGAATAAAAGGCACACAAAAACAGACCTCTAGTATCTCTTCTCACCAATGAGTTCCCAACCCTCCACATAGAAACTCCTCAAGTGGAAGACACAAAAGACACTGGTGAGTTAATGGAGGACAGTGAAAGGAGTACAAGCCTCCACATCAAGCAGAGCCATGTTCAACAGCAGTGTGAAGTGAGGGGAGGTATTTCCCTTCTCTGATTCTACTGCCTCATCTACAAAACAGAACACTAGTGTTGATTTTCACTGTTGATGGTGTGGAAGAAGCTGTAAGAAAGTAACTGCCAACATGGCAGAGATTTGGTGCACATCAGTTCTTTCCCATCCACAGACAAATTATGGAGTCTGCTGGTGTATTGTTGTTGCTGTTGTTTGCTTTGTTCAAATGATGCTAAGTTTTCATTCACTTCTCTTCTTTCCCATCATTAACTGTAGCTTCAGGCATGTTTAGGGAAGAGGGCAACTCTGTGCACCATTATCAAGCAGAATATATGCTCAACAAATGCAACACAGTTTTTGCCTTCAACGTGTTTGAAAGATTATACATGTACTGTGTCCCAACAGCATGACACAGAAATGTTCAGATTTGGAAGGAAAGTCAATTGCACATGAAATAGAAAGGAATTCTATAAACACAAGGAGGATTAGCTCAGCATTTTGAAGCTACAAACCTCAGTACTTATAGGCAGCTTTTAAAGCTGGAGGAAGGACATGTTTAGCTAGAGCTGTTTGTTTAACGTACACAGCAGAAGAGATAAAGAAATTCAGAAGACTGCGTAACTCACCCTTCCTCCCTGGGCCTCTACAGGAGCCCTCTACTCACAACATGCTGGTTAAGCTTTTCCCAAAACCCAAGGAATTGCACACTAGAGAAATGGCAAAGATACTTTAGTTGAAAGATGAAAATATACTCCAACTTCCTAAGAAAAAATTAAGCAGTTAATACCTCCTCTTGCCTCCTAAGAGATGCTCTGGTGGCCAATCAGGTGCTACTTCTGTGAATACCATTTGCTACTTAATAACAGAAGTGGTTGGCTCTGAAAAGCAATCTGCCTGATGAGGTCTTCAAGCTGTGTAATTAGGAGGCTAGTCCCTAAATTGGCCTACAGTGCCTACAGGATTAGATGAACATGGCAGAGAGGCCTCAGGGTTTCAGAGGGACAGCAGGGAAAGAGTTGACAGTTCCTTTTCATCCGTTTCTACACTCCTCAGTGACATCATGAGTGAGTGCTTCCCTTCCATACACCTAATAACACATATCCACCAATTGAAGGACAATGTATGGAGGAATTCCATGTGCCTAGCACTGTTTGATGTGAACACAATGAATCAGTTATATATGACACTTCTACTACAAGCTTACAATCTAGTGAAAAAGTGACATCTACATTGTAATTCAAAACATGAATAGCAAACAGCCAGCTGAAAATGTTCCAGCCACAGGAGCAGTACCTAAAAAGACCCAGAGGGTACAAAAGTCATGATTCATTTCAAGGCCAGTCTTAAGTAGAGCAGAGTACCAGGAAGACAGTACCACAGGACTGCAGAGACTGGAAGCAGGCTGAGCCAGATCACCCAAAGCCTTCTTGTCCACAGTAAAGATTCTGAGAATAATACAACCCAATACATACTTGAAACATTAAAGTTCACTGTGCAGAACCAACAAGGGCAGTGGGTGAGCAACAACTCTAGAAGTAGGCCTGGCCTATCAGTCACAGGAGGCTTCTGACTGGAAATGGTTTCTTCTGCTCCTACTGGTAAGTTGGTTCATCAAATCCAAAACACAGCCTGCCAGTCACAAAACTACTGAGACAGAGACCAGAACAAGTGAGGGAATGGAGGCCAGCGAGGAAGTAACTTGCCAAATGACAAGGCAGAGAGAGGACTGGAGTTCAGGTTCTCTAGGTTTCTCAACTACAGTTAAAACCATACAGCCTCAAGGTTAAATGGAACTCACCTTCCAGTCTCTAACGCCAGCACTGCTTATGTTGTTCTGTCTAGTCTAGAGGAAGGTGAGTTCCTGGAGGTTCTTCTCCAAATTCTAATACAGAAGTCACAAAATGGTGGCCCTCAGGACATATCTGGCCCATTAAAATGTTTTATTTGTCTCAAGGTTTTTTTGTTTGTTTTGAGGCTGTCTCGTGTAGCCTAGGATAGCTTTGAATTCCTGATTTTACTGCCTGTGCCTCCCAAGATCTGAGATAACAGACACATGCCAGCCCTCCAGGATGTCCGCATTTTAAAAGGAGAAAAGTAAATTAGGCCAAAACATTTAGAGAGCAAAAATACTTTGTACAAAATTCGTGGTTACTGGTTTCTTTTGGAAATAAAAACTGGAGCATCTGTTAATATTAGTACCAGGCCTATATTTCTGCCTGGCAATTATCAGCAAGAACTAGGCAGAGGTGCCCCAGAGATAGGCCACATGGTTTCCAGGTATGCTGGTTTGAATGAGAATGTCCCCCTAAGGCTCACATATTTGAATGCTTGGTCTCCGTTTGGTGGAACTGTTTGGGAAGGATTAGGATGTGTGGCCTTGTTGGAGGAGGTGCATCACTGGGGGTCAGTTTTGAGGTTTCAAAAATTCTTACCATTCTTCACCATGCTCCAGTTCCATGCATACCTGCTGCCATGCTCCCCTCTATCATGATCACAGATAATTAAATTAAATGCTTTCTTTTATAAGTTGCCCTGGTCATGGTGTTTTATCATGGCAATAAAAAAGTAACTGAGACCCAGGTTACCAAACCCTTATACTGCCCCAAAGCCAATCACTTCCTCTCCATTATTGTTTTTCAAATCACTTACTTGGTCACACTATACATTTGAATTTAACAGATAAAAAATTAAGAGAGGGGCTGGAGAGATGGTTCAGTGATTTAGAGCACTGGCTGCTCTTCCAAGGGACCCCGGTTCAATTCCCAGCACCCACATAGCAGCTCACAACTGTCTGTAACTCTAGTTCCAGATCTGACGCCATCATACAGACATACATGCAGGCAAAAATACCAATGTAAATTAAATAAAGATAAAATCATTAAGAAAAATTTAGACATAAGAGACTTTTCTTGTCCTATATTTTCTTTAATAAATTTCTTTCCAAACTAAAGGGACCATTTCCTTTCTGACCTGATTAAACCTCTGTTATCCAAAAGAAACTGAAGACAGACCAATTCAATAAAACACCTTACCTCTGGGAAACTGGCCATATTCACCAAAATCAACTGCGGTGACTTCAGGGAGATCTGGCCAATGTGATTTAGAGCAAGCTTCCCATCAGCAGTTACCACAGTAATATGATCAAGGGATCCTAAAGAAAAAACAGTAAGGTTTAGAATTCTAAAAGACCTTAGAAGCCCGTACCTCTTAATCTAATTCTGATTCAAAAAGCATACAGGACTCCCTTACCAAAGTGGCAAAGCTGTTCATAGGAGCAGTTTCAGGCAGTGGATAGAGTATGCAATGAGCCACATTGGAATTCCTTGCTAGAACCAGGATAAGTAACCATTCTGGTCTACCTGGATTTAAAGCCTTCCCTGTGATACAGGACAGATCATCTGAAGGAAGCCAGGACAGGAACTCAAGCAGGGTAGGAACCTGGAGGCAGGAGCTGGTGCAGAGGCCATGGAGGGTGCTGCTTACTGGCTTGCTTTCTTATAGAACCCAGGACCACCAGCCCAGGAATGGGATTGCCCACAATGGGATGGGCCCTCCCCCATCAATCACTAATTTAAAAAATGCCCACAGGCTTGCCTACATCCTGATCTTGTGGAGGCATCTTCTCAATTGAGGCTCCCCTCTCAGATAACTTTAGCTGTGTGAAGTTGGTAGAATAAACTATCCAGCACAGAGCTGACACTGAAAAGCACTGACCTCCTTTCAGTAACTCTACCACTCACTAGCTAGAAAACCACTAAGAAAGACATCACTTGCCTCTCTCTGTGTGCCTTGGTTTCCAACTCAGCTTTAAAAAAAAGTAGCTGCTTTTTTTAAATTATGTGATGACTACAGCTAAACAAAAATGGCCAACTACATAACATACCAAAGAATAAGCACTGACAAGTCACCTCCTCCTGCCCCTTAGTTCTTACCACCATCCCACCCTGTAATGCTGTGACTATTACCATCACTTCAGAGGAGAAAATGAGACTTGAGGAAGATAAATGGACCAAGATCAGAGTTAACAAGCGAAAAACAATCAAGAGCCCTAAGTCAAACTCAAGTGTGCTCAAGTCTGATTTCAGACAAAGTTCTTCCCTTCTCTACACAGATCTGAGCACAGAATCATCAGGGCTTCAGCCTGTACTCTTGCACCCCCCAGAGATCCTGATTCTGCTGTAATGTTTTTAATTCACCACACAATTCTAGCACACAGCCAGTTTAGAACAATTTCCTTATGTCACCCTTGCCTTTGGTACTGGGGACCCACCTTTCAGAAGCAAGTACACATTGTGTGTGTGTGTGTGTGTGTGTGTGTGTGTGTTTGTATCACTGTTATCCTGGATCTTTTTCCACACCTATAAAATCCTAGGCAATTTTTTCCGAAGTCAAAAAAGATAAATAAGCCCACAATTCTCAATGGGAAATTCTTCTAAATCCCTGATTTCCTATACAAATGAAACTAGCAGAAAACCCTTGTCACTCACAGTAGAAACCACTCATGGATGGCTCACGTATCTTTCAAATAAACTGAAACTATTCTGGCAATACGCTGTAAGATGGTCCAAAGATCTGATTTGAAGTACTCAACCAGATTCAGTGTCATGACAGACAGTTGTGGACACCACTGGCTTTAACCTACAGAAAGTATAGGAGTATAATGATAAAAAGTCGCCTTGATTTTAAAATCATTCAAATACCAACTCACTGCTTCCAGAGTCTAAGCACCTTCTGGGCCTCTACTTCTTGATCTTTAAATGAGACCAAAACTATACTTAACAGGCTTTTAGGAGGATTAGACTCAAAAGTATATTAAAAAGCATTTATAGCTACAACCCATTAGTGCTGTTACTATTTTTTTAGAATTTTTGTATTTTAATCAAACGAATATCCTTGCATGTAATTTCCCTTCTATTAGGAATAAACTTCTCTTTTCTTGAAATTATAAAAGTTATTTAATTCACCATAGCTTAAAAACAAGAATAAACTTAACTAAGAAAGTATAGATGTCTACTTTAAGAATTACAAAGCAGAGGCAGGCAGATCTCTGAGTTCAAGGCCAGCCTGGTCTACAGAGTGAGTTCCAGGACAGCCAGGGCTACACAGAGAAACTCTGTCTCAAAAAACAAAAAACAAACAAAACAAAATAACTATAATCACTTATCATAATATTTTAGATTCATTTATAATTTTTCTCAACATTCCTTGAATAAATCCTATTTGAAGCTGGGTCTACTGACTCATTCTCATAATCCTAGTATTTGGTAAGATGAGGTAGGACAATCCCTGTAAAATTCTAGTATATAACTTATTTTTTCCTCAATGCTTTTTATTTTATTTTATTTTAAAACAGGTTTCACTGTGTAGCTTTGGCTGGCCTGCAACTCACTATGTAGTCTACTATGTGAGAATATACTTCTTTACTGGGTAACTCATGTTCCCTCTTTAAAGTCTCACTGTAGTGGTGTCTAATCTCAGGAGCCTTGTCTGACTCTTACGAACCCTCAAGCATCCTAAGGATGCTTCAACAATAATGGCAGCAGCTTAAGTTACTATGTTCTATAAGCAAAGCTCCAGTGCTAATGCTTTTTAATATTACTTGCTTTTATTATCTTATAAGGTGATTATTACCACCATCATTTTACAGATGAGGAAACTGAGGTAAACAGAATGAACTACCCAACATCACAACAGCTCTTAATAATAGAACTTAAATCCAAGTCCAGGCACAACCGTCTCCAAAGCCTGTCTTCACTGTTCTGCTGTTATGTGGTTTTATACACATTGGTTCACTTGTCTGCCCTTCCATATGAGGTTCTAAGTTCCTGGACATTAGATCTTCCCTCTCCATGTCCATACCTATTAAAGAAAGTGGTACGAAGTAAGTGCTCAGTACTACTGTGGTAAACAAATGGATGGACGAAGGACAAAGGGAAAGCAGCAAGAAGAAAAGAACAAGCCTGCATCTCAGGCAAGCGTTGACAGAATCCGCTGTTTCTGAGACACACGCAAGACAGAGGAGTGAAGAGGAAAGCACTGGCAGTCAGGTAGCAGAGAGAGACGATACAGAAGAGGCAGTCTAGCAGAGGACACGGGCTAAGCTTGGCTTGCTTTGCCCAGTTTCTTCACAGCCTCAAATTCTACACAGAACACACACAAACTTAACCTAAGGAAAAGAAGGAAGGAGGAGACTCTAAGGGGAGGTCTGCTGAAGGAGGATCTTAGGCCAGCCTCCCTGACTGGCTGTAAGAGCCTCTGCCCCAGAAGTCCCCACATGGGCATCTCAGTGTGCAGTTGTGGTGGCTCCTATTCCTCAATCCTTATCGACATAATGCATCAAGCCCTTTCCCCGCAATCTGTCCCCAGTGGGAATCTCCCTCAAGCTCCCTCCTGCCCCTCATTTTCTCAGAGGTTAACAGTTAACAAATTACACTCCCACCCTCCTTCCGAGCCCATCATCATCTTAAGTTCAACAAGAGTGGAACTGGCCGGCTCATTTTAAGTATCACGTTTCTCCCTGGGCTTCTCTCAAGCTGCTCTCTGGTTTCGGCTGCAGAATGTTAACAGGCAGAAAGCACAGGGGAGACAGAGCACTTTATCAGTTTCATACCTAAAATAATAAGCAAGCTTAAAATAAACAGTTGCGAAAGACTGAATGGCACGCTTTACTGTCAGCAAAGGCAGAAACACTCCAGCACAAAGGTTAACAAATGCCAGGAACTGCCTTCTAGTCTCACGCCAGATCGCATCTCTGAACTCAACGTGGTTCTGATCATTTTTAGAATGAACTGAGTACTTTTCACAAGCAAGTTCATAAAATATCTTCTATTTTCCTTACAAACTTCCCCAATTAAAACATGAGTGGGAGGGGCTGAAGCTCCCGCAGACACCTTCAGAGGGGGTCCCAGGCCTAACTATAGGATGATGACAATTTGCAGAAGGCCAATTTAACAGCAATTGGATTTTTCCTGCCCACTTGCACCATTAGCTGACAACCCACTTCTCCATCACATCTGCAAACAGTTCTCCTAGACAGTTCTGACATTTCCCACTTAGAAAAGCCACTTTCAGGAAGCTATTAACCTAAACAGAATCGGAATCTTCCTGGTCAAGCTCACGGGCACAGAAAGGCCTCAGGTGGGCAAGTCTGCAGAATTTGGTTTTCAGTGTAAGATAAGAACTGCCAAATAGGACAAACTAGAAAAAGCAAACTAAAGGACATAGAACTGTGAGTCTAGAAACCCACATATGCTTATAGCATCCACAAGAGAACCAAATTCCACAAGCACTGATCATGACAGGTTTTGTTCACTGCTATGCTAGTTCTCTGTGGACCAAGCACAATGCTACTCCACAGGAGACAGTTGCTTAATGGACACATGCAGCACTATCCCAGAACCATGACACAGTTAACTCACTCACATTCTACAGCCCCAAAGCCACACGGCAGGAATTGGACAAGGCAACTCCTCAGTTACAGAAAAATAACTGCTCATAAACACCAGTCAGTCAGGCCAAAGCTGGGACTGATAGGGTGACAGGCCCATGCTCTTTTCCACTATAACACTCCCTGAAACATCGGTTTAGCCACTAACCTGGTGCAGTCCTTATGTTGAGAGTCTTATTGAAATTATCCTTGAGTGCTTCCATCACAGATTTCATTTCTTCATCCACCTCTTCCAAGTTGATTATGTCCTCAACCAAGGCTGTGTTAATGTTCACTCTGGCCTGGGGCTGTCCTTTCCCTTTAGCTGAAAAGCGAACAGTGAGCAGAGGAGTAGACGCATACACAGAAATAATAAGCACTGACTTTTTTCTTTAAGTGCCTACTGTGTACAGGGCAAAATGCCAAATATTAGAAGTTTATAAACACATCCCTGCCCTACACAAGTGCTCACATCTACTAAGTATTGGCTAGCTCCCAGGTCTGTGCTAAAGCCTTAGCCATTAGCAAGAGCAAAGGCTTTATAATTAGACACTCTGGGTTACACCTGCTGTAGTGCATGCTGGCTTTAGGACATTGTGCAAGTTACTCTATCTTTGAGTACTGGGACAAATAAAATGTGTATTATAAGGCTGCTCCAATAATACAAAGTCACTTACACACCCAAAAGAGTGTTCTACATATACTAGGGAATCCAGGAGTAAATTAATACCTTATTTTTTCAGAAAAAAATGAAAGACAAGAAAGGTAAAGTGACTTGCCTAATGTCACAGGTCAGGAAATGGTCAAGTCAAGATTGGTCCCAGATCTGTCTAATTTTAAGCCCATGAACTTTTCATAAGACAATCTCCACAAATCTAATTGAGAGAAAGGAAATATATTAATTCAGTTTCAAATGCATACTAAGAAAAGGTTATGCTCAGCATTGTATGGCTGCTCTAGACAAAATGAACTGCAGAGACATTAATCCTACCCACCACAGCACACTGGCTTCTATTCTAGTAAATCAACAGTGCTGGAAGACGGACGGAATCTGATTTCATGTCTAAACCATCAGGGGTTTTTTACACACATTCTGAAATGTACATATGACACAAATACTCTTGTATTTCTACATGGGGGGGGGTGAGAAAGGAGAAGAAAGATGGAAATAAATAGTATCTGAGTAATGAAGACTACGATGCTTATTCACTAAACATTTAATAAAACATTAAAATCCATTCAGCAATGTTTATTATTGACTTGACTCTACACTATCTGTGTTTCACATCCTAATTTGCAATTTCAAATGTGCTCTTCCATTTAATTTCCAAGATAGTTCTGAGGTAGGAAAATAAGAACTTAAGATGCAGGCCATTGAAATATTTTGCCCCAAGTAACCAGCAAACAAGCAGCAAGGTAACTTTTCCAAAGGTTTGTCGGGTCACCACTCTGCTTGAAGATCCCACTGCTTTGGAGCAAACAAGCTAAGGGCTTAGAAGTTTTGGAACTGATAAAAAGATGTCAATTCAGAAAAACTGATTACAAGCAGGACAACAGAAGCAAATCCATATCTAGACAAATTGTAAATAAAAAAAATCAAAGACATACAGATCATTTTAAAAGATGGAGAGAAAAGACAGATTTATCCACACGGGATTAAAATTATACGTTGAACAAAGAGGCAAGACACAAAATACATACTACAGTAAAAAAAAGCCCCATATTAGAACAGTGTAACAGACAAAAACCAATCCATGCCATCAGACATCTGAGTAACAGTCACCAGGGAGGGGGCACAGGGAGAGGGTGGCACTCACTAGATGTGGATAAAAAGGGACTTCTGATGTGCTGAAAATATTCAAATCCAGGACTTGAGTGTTCCACCACAGAGCTACACCCCAGCCTCTGGTTTCTGAGACAATATCTTGCTATGTATGCCTGTCTGTCTGTTTCAGCCTCCCGAGGGCTAGATTATAGGCATGACCCCCCCCCCCCAACACCAGTTCTTGATTGAGGGGAAAGGGGAGTCCTGGCTACAATGGTGATTTCAATTTGTAAAAATTAGCAAGTGTAGTTTATTTCTATGAAAAGGTTTAAAAAAAAAAGTTTTTACTATCCAAGTAAAGACAGATGGTATACACACACATCTTGCAAATCAGCAGAGATGAAAAAGGAATAAAGAAATCTGATTAACTTAATAGAAAGGAAGAAAAAGTTAAGAAAGCCACAAAAAAGTACAAAACAAGATTAAAATGTAAATACTCAACAAATAGGATAAACAGAAATGAACCAAAATGACTAGCTAAAAGTTCAAGGTTCTCAGTGAGACTTTAACTTAACCATATAGAATATACAAGAAAATTTATAAATATATGAAATCACAGGTTTAATGGATAGGGAAAATTTTATAGGCCTGAAAAATACTAATGAAAATAAAGTTGGGTTTATTATATTAACGGCAAGTAAAGCATTTTAAGACAATGTACTATTAGAAATGAGGGCTACTTCAAAATAACATCAGAAGATATATAACAATTCTGGGCTTAAATATATAGCCATAAGGTAGCCTCAAAATTAAAAAGGGGAAACTGTTCAATCTACACTCACACCAGGAGATTTTAACACACTTTTCTTGGTAACTGATAAGCAAAGGAAATAAAAAGTTAAGTGAATGGAAAATGTGATCCTAAGTACAGACTACCTTTAAGCCCATCACTCAGGAAGCTATGATATCTTTGAATTCAAGGCCAGCTTGACCTACACATGAGTTTCAGGGCATCCAGAGTTACATGTTGAGACCTTGTCCCAAAAAGAGTAAGTAGAAAATACAAAAAATATTATCAACAAAATAAGAGACTCACAACATTAAAAGATTTTTTTTAGCCAGTCAATGGTGGCACATGCCTTGGGAGGCAGGAGTAGGCAGATCTCTGTGAGTTCAAAGCCAGGCTGGTCTACAGAGTGAGTTCAAGAACAGCCAGGACTATACAGAGAAACCCTATTTCGAAAAAAAAAACAAATAAAGATTTTTTTTTTTTAAAGCTTGTAACACTGATAAACTTCTGGTAAAATGATGATATGAAAGATGCTAAGAAAAAGAGAACATATAAGAGTTATCAAAACAGTAAAAATTTTAATCTTTTGTTTTGTGTTCTGTTTTTCGAGGCAGGGTTTCTCTGTGTAGCGCTGGCTATTCTGGAACTTGCTCTGTAGACCAAGCTGGCCTGGTCCCCCTACCTCTACCTCCCAAGTGCTGAAAACTTTGAATCTTAAGAGGCTATTAGGTGCAATTTTAGACCAACAGCTTTGAAGACATAAAAAAAATTCTAAAATAGAAAATATAAGCAGTCTCATAACTATTAAAGAGACTGGATCTCTAATTTCAAGTTTATATACACTTTCCAAATCCAGATGACTTACAGGCAGGTTCTACCTAGGAGACAAGGAACTTTAACCATCCTACTGCATCCTATTACATGAGATATGATGCACTCATCTCACACCATAAGGCTAATGTCAACAACAAGACCTAATAAAGGCAGCAAGAGTCAAGCCCTTCAGTATGTGGAATTACATTCAGCCTAATCTTACACATGCAAACACAGACTAAAGAGCCTAACACTTAATCCCATATACAAGCTTGCTAAGTCCAGCAATGAATACACAGATTATGTATCAAGCAAGACATATACAAATTATCAAAAACAAGCAGGGCATTTGTCAAAAACGCAAAAATGATTTAACACAAGAAAAGCTTTTGATGTTGAGTTATTCTATTAATAGATTCAAGGCAGGGGAGTACTGGGGATTGGCATAGAATAGAGTACATGCTTAGCCCACACCAGGCCCTGAGTTCAATTCCCAGTCCTGCAAAAACTAAAGGGTCGGAAGGTAGGACCACCTCAATGACCATATGTATCATTTGATTAGAAGTTGGTGTCTTTTAAACAGCTCAAGGATTAGATACATTTACCTAAAAGAGACTTCAAAAATATAAAGGAAACATTCTTTACATCAACATATAAGAAGTGTTCTCTCTAAAATCAAGAATAAAAACGGATGCCCATTATCACCAATCTCACTTACTTAAATTAGAGATCCCAGGCAGTCCAGTGAAGGGTAATTCCAGGGAAATGGGGATGTATGTGCATGCATATGCACCAAAACACATGTACAAGAATGTTTATATTGTAATGATACTGCTAGTTTAACTCCAAATTCCAAGTGACCCAGATGCCATTACAGGATAGATACATAAACTACAGCGGCACATCTGGGACACTATAAAAAAATTAAAGCACACAGCAATTGTTGCAGGTACAACATGCAAACAGCTCACAAGAAATCTGTTACCCCACAAAGCCAAACATCAAGTTCAAAAAGGATGAAACTAATCTATGGTGTTAAAACCAATCTCCTGCTGAAGCTTCTAGAATATGGGATGTTTTCTTCTTTTCTTTTTTTTAATAACTTTTGTTTCTGTTTTTTTTTTTGTTTGCTTGTTATTTTGTGGTTGCTGTTATGTAAGTGTGGCTCACCTAGAATTTGTTACACAGCCCATGCTAGCCTTAAATTTATAGTGAACCTCCAGTCTCTGACTCCCAAGTGACACCATGGCATGCTACATTTTATTTCTTTTAATTTAATTTTATTATTTTATGTGTATAAGTATCTACCTGCATGTATGTCTGTGCACTACAGGTGGGCCGAGTGCCCAGGCAAACCAGAAGAGGGTCTTGAGTCCTCTAGAATTATAGTTACAGACGGTTGTGAGCCACCATGCTGATGCTGGGAAAAACCCCCAGTCCTCTGGAAGAGCAGCCAGTACTCTTAGCTGCTAAGCCATCTCTCCAGTCCCCTATATTTTATTTCTTGATCTGGAAGATGGATACAAGGTTGTGTGCACTTTCTAAAACTCCACTGTGACAACCACTTAACAATGTAGGAATATACTTTTCTGTATATGCTATGCCTCAAAATAATTATGAGTATATCATAAAATGATACAATAATGATATCATTTTCTAGAAAATGTTGGTTTGTGACTATAAATTTCACATAGAAAAGGAAAAAGGCAAGAAAAAAAAAAGTGTGTGACAGGTAAAAATCTGCAGCAGTGCACACAAGCCTTATGACTGGTTCCGGAAGTAAGGGCAACTTAGTGAGGAAACAGCAGGTCAACAGAACAACCAGGAATTAGCAGCACCAACTGGATGACAAAGTGCTGGCAACACAGCTCATGGCCTGTGTGAAAAAGAAACCTAAACTGAGCTTTAGTTTCTGTTTTTGAGATAAAGTCTCAATTTGCAGACCAGGGTGCCCTGGAATTCACTATGTAGCCCAGGATTACGTTCAACTGTCAGGAATCCTCCTGCCTCAGCCTCTCAAGCACTGGGATTACAAGTGTGGGCCACCACAGCCAGCTTTTCAGTTAAAATTATTAATTCACACCACATTCAGAAATAAATTACCTTGGGATAGAAAAGCATTCTTGAAAAAGATACAAAGAGTAAAAAAAACTGAAAATGACCACATTCACAGACATAACACCCTGGTAACACAAACAGTAAGGGATAGTATCCCTATTGTAGAAAGACTCCAAGGGATCTAAGAGAATGAAAAGAGCCGACTCTTAGAGGAGCAGCCAAAAAAGATGAAGATGCTGCTTGCAGGCCATACTGAGCATCTAGAAGACTGTGATGCCATGGTGTCAGAATCGCCAGCTTCCCTGTCCTTCCTCTATCTGGAGGCAACCATGAGCAATTCTTTTCCAAACAACTAGACCCTGGCTTCTGTATTTGCAACATGTTAAAGCCTGTATTCATTAGACAATTGTAAGGATTTCTTCACTGGAAAATTATAATTGTTTCCAATGAATAATGGTAAGGATTGGATTAGAAAATCTCAAAAATAAGATACAAATCACATCTGAACTTAACAAGATAAGTCTTCTAAGAGTTAATTTTATTTCAGAAGCACGTTAATCCTCCTTTCAACAAAAGCAGATCTGTGTGAAAGCAGAAAAGGAAAGACTTAGGAGCACATTCTAGCACCATCCTCAACAGCAGACCACCTGACCCCACCCCAGACAGGGGGTCTGCCTGATCACTCTCTGTCATCCATTCATCCAAGTTTCTGAAAATACAGTATATATACCAGCCCTGGAGAGTGCTAAACCGCAAAGAAACTGATGTTCATCAGATCCAACATAGCAGGCAGCTAACAAACAATAATCAATTTTACAACTGATTAATTAATTACTTCAGTTCTAAGAGTGTCAAAAGTTAAGTAACAGTGTACATGAGTGCATGTAACAGGGAATCTGACCCAGTCTCAGGCCAAGGAAGGCATCCTGGAGGAAGTGGCATTTAAGCAAAGACCTGCGGTACATCAAAATCTCATTCTTGGATGACATAAGCCATTAAGATCATCCATCTAACTCGTAGTTTTAATGCCCTGTCACCCAAAACCCTTCTGGCTTTAATTATACCCCCAATCCGAATCTTCCTAAAGAATGAGTGTATGCTGATCCCTGCCATAAGCACTCCAGCAGGCTTGATACTTTTACCTCTAGTTCTGCATCTAAATAAAATAAATGAGGCATTTTCTGAGCCACCAAGAAAATAAATGAGGTGTAATGGTAACCAAACAAGCCCTGGGTTCCAACACAGTCTGCATGTGAACTTCTGAGACATCAGGAAGGACTCTGAACATCTCTGAGATCTCTGCAAATGTAAGAAAGGACTGAGAGGGGAAGGAGATCACCTACCTTTTGCTTTCTTGGTTGCAAACTGGCGAACTGGCATGGCTGGGTAGGCTAAGTACTGCCTGTGGTCATGTTGTCTTCCATGCACAGGTTTCATGGAAACTTCTGAAACAGGTCTGGTCAAAGTAGCAAGGTAAGTGCAAAAGGCAGGGTGTAGCCGGCGGAAGCAGTATACTCCCAAGGCCATGATGGGAGAGAATCCACAGAAACAGCCACTAAAAAGAGAAAGACAAAAGATTCCAGTAAAAGAAAGCCCACAACAACTTTCAAAACTAATCCACACCAACTACCAAGCAATTCCTCTAACTGGGCCATGAACTTGGCAATTCACATACTTAACTCTAAGCCGCCTCCCAACAGACTCAGGAAGAACTATTATCCTCATTTCACAGGATGAAAAAACTGAAGCTCAGACTTAAGTGACCCACCCTGTCTGTGGAGTTCTTTCAGTGCATTTAAATGCCTATTAAGCAAATGTGCAGCAGCCTAAATCTGTGATGATGCTAATTAAGCTTTATATGAGCAAAAGCACAAAATCTTGATAAAGCTTAAAGAGGAAGGGCAGAGTACTAGAAGAGGACTTTAAGTAAGAAAAACATTTTAATAGGCATAAAATGACTAGAGAATTTACATGGCAGCATTTAATTAAAATTTTCTTTGGTTCCTTATGCACTGATTACCAATTAGAATGCACTTTAATTTGAGTCTGAAGCATGATTGAGGTTTGAGGTCTTCCACAGTCTAGAACTAGGAAACGCCAACATCCATTGAGTTAACACAAGTTATACACACTTCTGAGGTCTTTGACCATACAAAGATGCTATTGCTTCCTCAGACAGAACACAGTCCTAGTCAACAAATACAACACTAAGAATTTCTGCCAAGAATCTGGTTATTACTTAGCTAAAAAATTAAGAACAATTTAGTATCAAGTGTCTGAAAGCACTATCTTTGAAAATCACATTTCATTAAAAAAAAAAAAACTGCTCAAATGGTGATGTAGCATTATGGAAAACAAGAGTTGGCATTCTGCAGCATGAAGACATAAAATCCAATCCCAGCTCCAGTTTCAAGGACTTCCATGCTAGGGTCAGATATGATGAGGGCACCTGCACTCATGTCAGGACTGTAAAGTGGCCTAGATTCAGTCAAATGTGATACATCTGCCTGGGGTAATTCATCCTTTCCCTATCAATGAGAAAGATAAGCCTCATTTAAAAATGGAATACCAAATACGTATAAAACATTCAGCATGGTACCTGGCACACGCTAACTGCTCAAGAAGTGTGACTATTGTTGACTATTATTACCATCACTACTTCTTTTTAGTGAAAAGAAAAAGAGCAACACATAATGCCACATATGGTGAGGAATGCCTATAATCCTAGCAGTTAGGTGTACACAGGAGGAATAGGGGTTCAAGGTCATCCTCAGTTAAACAGCAAACTAGAGGCTAGCTTAAGCTAGATGTGATCTTGTCTTTAAAAGACAAGCAAAAAAGGAAGGGAATGGATAAAGCAAAGGCGAACCATTTCTCCTGATGGGATTTTTAACAAGTTATGCTGGATATCAGCAATCAGCATGTGAAGTTCACACAAACGCAGGCCTGGGCTGCTGGCTCACTCATATCAGTTCATTTACTCCCGTGAGTAATGCCGCAGATAAAGCATTATAGTCCTACTTTGTAGATATTGAAACTGAGGCCCAGAGAGATTAAGACACTGCCCAAGAATATGGAACTAATAGTCCAAACTGTTCACAAAAGTTTGGCTTTGAGTTGACATTTCTAAATCTAAGTTTCTACCTACTCACATTTATATCCAAATATGGCTGCATAATAATGTGCAGTTTGGGTTTTTTTAGTTGGCAGGGTCTCAATCTGGCTGCAGTGTGTGTGACAGGTTTCCTGGAGTTCCTGTTGTGGGTCATAATACCAATCCACAAAGCCACAGCAAACTAAAATGGGTTAGAAATAAACAACCTTTGACAGAAAATCCAGCACTAAAAAGCAGGCCCAACACATGTGAACCGGAAGACAATTCTATAAATACACCACATTGCTGGAATGCTTGAGGCATACGTTTCCACTGCACAGAAGCCGGGGAATTTCACAGTGAAGTTCAATAAACCAACCTGTTAGGTCTCTAACCTTAGGAACATGAACTCTCAGGTCAGTATATGAAGCATTAAAAGTGAAGAAGAAACTTATGAAGAGTTTAAGTATGTTCCAATAACATTAATTTACTCACAATAGAATGTTTCCCTACTTACTACATGTGTAACCTTGAGTAGGTTAGTCATTCTCAGCAACAACTTCCACATCTTTTCTCACTTTAAATAACTAATATTTTTAATAATAACTTACTTATTTTTATTTTATGTTTTATTTTATCTTATGTGCCTTGATGTTTTGCCTGCATGTATGTCTGTGTGAAGGTGCCAGATCCCCTTGAAAGACAGTTGTGAGCTGCCATGTGGGTGCTGGGAACTGAACTCAGGTCTTCTGGAAAAACAGCCAGTGTTCTTAACCACGGAATCATCTGTCCAGCCCCCAGATAACTAATATTTTAATAACAATTTTTGTTTACTCTATAAGAGTTTCATACACTTATGAACCTATATCCTAGCTTGTCCACTGTCCTAGTAACCCCTTCCAATCAGCTGTGTATTGATACGCAACATACATTTCTAATATGTTTGAACACGACCTTATGTATAAGATACTTTTCCCATTTTATTGTATTTGATTACCACACACATTTTACAAAATAAACTGATCTTCCATTTCCTCATGAGCTTCTCCCATTCCTGACTTTTCAAATATGATATTAAGAGGGCTGGAGAGATGGCTCAGAGGTTAAGAACACTGGCTGTTCTAACACAGGATCTGGGTTTGATTCTCACACCACATGGTGGCTCACAACCATCTATATAACTCCAGTCCTAGGAAATTCAACACCCTCTTCTGGCCTCCACAAGCACTAGGCACATATATGCATGTAAGCAAAACACCCATAGACATACATTTTTGTTGTTGTTTTTCAAGACAAGGTTTCTCTGTGTAACAGCCCTGGCTGTCCTGGAACTGTCTCTGTAGACCAGGCTGTCCTTGAACTCACAGAGATCCACCTGCCTCTGCCTCCCAAGTACTGGAATTAAAGGCGTGCACCACCCCACCATCCTCCACCCCCCATACACCTACCCAGAACAATAAAACATTTTTTAAATCATTAAATATGCTTGGAATGGTCTCCCCTTGTCTCTCTGCCATCGTTTTTCTTTAGATGACTTAAGCATCTGTCTGTCAGAGCACAGGGTCAATGGCCACTTCTTCCAACTATGTCACATTTCCTGAAATCCAGTTTTCATACCCAACACTTCATCACAACACTTAGTTTTTAACATAAAAGTAAATATTTGTGTAATTGTTCGATCCTTGTCTAAATATCTCCACATGGCTGCTGGCACTCCATAGACTATTCTAGTAGACTAATCTACTTGTTCACTACTGTATTCTGTACTTAGGATAGTACAAGAACACAGACATCGTACAGATGTGATAAGTATGGTAAGAGACTTCTAGAAAGATTAAATCCTTGTCCAATGTCAAAATGCCCACATCAGAGTTGGAATCTACACTTCTGATGGCAGGTCCTGGGATCTGCTTCTCATCACTGCTTTTCCAGTTCTTTGCTTGGAAGAGGGTGTGCTCTTTTTCAAATTCAGTGTCATATAAAGAAAGGTATTTGTAATATCTGACTCAATACAGCATCTTAATGTCCTTGGCACAAGCCAAAGAGGAATGATAAAATTTAACAAGTGGACAAAAGGCTTTGCCTCAAGACTAGAAGGCCTAGACTCCAATATCCCCACTTTATCAATCCCCATCACATGTATCTTTTGGATTCACAACCACTCCCATTCAAAAAGCATGTATCTCAGCTCCACCAAGGACCTGCACTGGAGCAAATCATTTCTCCTAGCTTGGTTTTTTTCCTCAACCATTAACTGAAGGAATCAGATGACGTTTCCAGCTTTCCAACTACAAGTTCTCCAAAATTCTGGGAAATGCAATGGAATGTGCATTTCCTTCCCTTACAGGGAAGGCCATCCCGCTCCAGGATGAACCCTCACACACTATAGAAAATGCAAAGGCCAAGAATCGGGGTAAGGAGGGGATTCCTCCTGATGAGCAGAGGTTGATCCTGCTGGTAAGCAGCTGGAAGATGGCTGTACTTTGTCTGACTACAAAATTCAAAAGGAGTCCACTCTTTATCTTGTGTTGAAACTTCGTGGTGGTGCTAAGAAGTCTTTCTTACACCACTCCCAAGAAGAAGAAGCATAGAGAAAGGTCAAGTTGGCTGTGCTGGAATACTATAAGGTAGATGAAAAATGGCAAAATTAGTCAACTTCGAGCGTCCTTCTGATGAATGTGGTGCTGGAGTTTTCATGGCTGGCCACTTTGAAAGACATTACTGTGGCAAGTGTCTGACTTACTGCCTCACCAAACCAGAAGACAAGAAGTGTGTATGAGTTAATAAAAAGACAAGAATGGGGAGAAAAGAAAGAGCACCAAACTTTGAGACGGCCTAGGCAAGAGTCCTGCTTCTAGCACTTCCTAAGCAATCTCAATCTCATCTGTAAAATTTGCCAGAGTAGTGGAAATGTTGAAGTACCATCGAAATGACAACTGTTTGCCCACAGGACGGCAGAGTGACGATTTTAAAAGCCCAGGCGTTCGATTCAGGCCTGGGTGGCATTTCAACTCCACCACTTGGGAGCCGTGAAACCCTAGTAAGGATAGTGCTTCATCACTGGGAATAATTATACCTCTGCGCGTAGCGCTGGTCGGAAGAGGCGACATTCCTGTCAGGTGACGTCCTAAATATCAGGAACTATTTACCGAGTTCCCTGCAAGGCTCTAAATGCGGAGTGAGTGACACGAGCCCCGCCCCCACCCGAGAGGGTAGAGGGACCAGAAGTCCCGCCCCTGGCCTTAGGTCGAGCCGAACTCTGCTGAGCCGGTCACGGGCGGTAGCCTAGCCCCACGAGGTCCCTTCGAGGTCCTTGAAAAAGTGTCAGTGGCAGCTGGACCCCGCCCGCGCCTTGAGACCCCTGGAGGCCACTCACCAGCTATAGCCCGGATGATAGAGAAACACGCGCGACAGAGGCGGCGGCGGCGGCGGTGCGGGCGTCATGACGTCACGGGGCGGCGCGGCGGCGCAGACGTAGCGCGTCACGGGCGGCCGGGCGGCGACCGGTGTTTCGCCTGAGGTTTCCTCACGTCCCTCGCTCGGAGCCGGGCGTCGGAAGCTGGTTTCAGGGCATGAGCTGAGGGCACAGCTCCGAGGCTGGCAGGTGAGTACCAGCGCCAAGCTGGCGGCGGGGCCGTGGCGGAGACTGCCCTCACCGCAGGCTCCTAGGCCCCGCCCCGGATTGTCCTGCTCCTGGCCCGGAAATAACAACCCCATTAGTGACCTTTCGCAGCCGCGAATCGGGAAACCCTGGTCCCTGGCTGACCCCGCTGGTAGCGTTTAGGAATAAGCGACCCCAGTCTCCTCCTGGCTTCTAGAGTTGATACAGCTCAGCTGGGAGGGATCGAGAGAGGCATTTTATGAACTGTTACTCCAAGTTGTCGTCACTGCAAACCCCAAAAGATTTGGTAGTTGCATACTACCTTATTAGACTTCACTGTTTTTCAAAAATCCACGTGCTGAGCTTTCACGTGTATATTTATTTTCTTATTTAAAATAGCCACGTGATATAGGAATAATTGTCCCCGTCTTTGGAAAGAAGATAATGACTTTGTTTCATTCATTCTCTCAGAAAACAGTACCAACTCTGAGCCAGGCAGTGCACTACCTGCTGAGCATAGAACCATGATCAAGCCAGGCGAGTCCCTGCGCTATAGGAGCTTTTATTGTTTTAGAGACATGGGCAGAAAGTAAATAATACATTTTATTCATTTTATATGGAAGGGAAAAAATGGCAGAGACAGAATGTGAGGAAGACACATAAGGGAGATACTGTTACTTACAAAAGGCACATTAATTGGGAAAGTCAGTTTTGAATACGGATCTCTCTAGTCGAGTGCCTTGTATTCTTCCAATTGGAACATGGCATCTTTGGCATTTTTAAAGAATCTTTTGGTGTTACTGTACCTTTTAGACCTGAGAACATCAGAAGTTATAGCACTCAAATCTAACTCTATTCAGTCTAAAGTAGTCCAACCCCAAGTCGCTTGATCCTTCTTGTTGTAAATAGTATCTGTCATTAATTAATTTCACTTATTTAAATTTATTAAAATTTAGCCGGGCGGTGGTGTCGCACGCCTTTAATCCCAGCACTCGGGAGGCAGAGGCAGGCGGATCTCTGTGAGTTCGAGGCCAGCCTGGGCTACCAAGTGAGTCCCAGGAAAGGCGCAAAGCTACACAGAGAAACCCTGTCTCGAAAAATCAAAAAAAAAAAAAAAAATTTATGCTCTCCTTTCAAATATAAGCATTCTGAGGGTGGGAACTATTTCCTACAGGGCTGAGCTCTGAGTCACCTCTCAATATAGAAGACATATGGGGTTTTTGTTTTTCTAGCAGGGAGGTCTGAAGTCTGGCATGGCCTGCTATTTTCCCTGTCCCTTTATCTTTCCTTTATCATAGTATAGATTTATTTAAAAAAAATTTTAGATTTATTAAAATTTTTTTTCATCTATCAACTCATTTCTTCTCAGCAACCTTAATAAGCAAAGCAAGGTTTATCTTTATGAATTTTTTAGAGTAAATAAGCAAAGCAAGGTTTATCTTTATGAATTTTTTAGATTTATTTACTCTATGTGAATGAGTCTTTTACCTGCCATCTGTGTATGTGCACCACATGTATGCAGTGATTGCAGAAGTCAGAAGAGGGCATCTCATCTCCTGGAACTCAAGTTAGAGATGGCTGTGAGCCGCCAAGTGGGTGCTGGGAACTGAACCCCTTGGTCCTCTGCAAGAGCAACATGTGCTCTTAACTGCTGAGCCATCCTTCCAGCCCCTCAAAGTTTGTATTAAAACATGAAGAAACTGGGCCAGCAAGATGGCCGAAGCAAGAGTGGGAAGAGAGAACCAGCTCTTGAAAACTCTATCCTCTGACCTCTACCTGTGCTGATGATCTGCACGTGCCCCCCCCCCCATAATAGAGTAAATAAATAAGAAGAGGAACGGGGGTACTGAGGACAATCACTTCAGTGGAAGTGGAACATTCAGGTCTTCTCACACCAGGCTCTCTGTTCTTTCCATTACTGTCTCTGCCACAGCTGTCATTCTCCTGCTCTGTGAGATGAGATACTTCGGGAATTAAGACGAGTAAGAATTATTGGTCTTGAATACTTCTAAGAATCGTGGTCCTAAAAGCCTTAGTGGTATAACTTGGCAGAGCTACATTCCTTTATGAGATACTGTCCTCACAAAAGGACTTAAGAGTAATTAAGTGACTTGCTGAAGGTTACACTAAGAAAGCAGACGATGAACTGTAATAACTAAGGAGATTCCCTTCTTGTTTCTACCAAAACAGTAAACTTGGTGATCAATAACTAATGTATATTGACTACTTACTGTTGTTAAACATGTGGTTTGGTAATTTTTTTAATGTATGTAATCTTCACAACAACTCTATAAAATAAGAACTATTGCTTCTAATTTTACATTTGATGAAATTGAGACCTGTAAAATTCAGATAATTAAATAAGTCACACAACCTGCTTTCAAATCCAGCTCTAACTCCAGTGTTTGTGCTCACATCTCTTGTGCCACCTCCTCCCTTGCTGAACTGCTCCAAGAAGAACAGGAGCCTAAGCTGTCCTGTCCCTGTCCCCTCTCCCCCTCCCCCGTCCCACCATTCCCTCAACATTCAAGACTATCTTCTTGGTGGCTTTCCTTTTTTTTTTTTTTTTTCCTGGTGTACCATGTGGTGATAGAGCCTTTGGCCTCCTGCCTCAGGAAATTAAAAACCCTCCATACAACCATACCTCTATCCTAAATGGCAGCTCTGACTGCCAGAAGGACTGTCCCAAGGGAACTGGTCCAAGGCCAGTTGGGAACAACAGGCCTTTGAAGGACTGCCCAGAGAGCATGCCTTCCTTGGATAAATTGCAAGTCTCATGTTCACACAAGATTGTTCCACTCCTGCCTCAGTGCTCACATTGCCTTTAGTATTTCGTAGAGATTGATGGAAGCAGAAACCAAAACCCTCCCCCTGGAGAACGCATCCATCCTTTCAGAGGGCTCTCTACAGGAAGGACACCGATTATGGATTGGCAACCTGGACCCCAAAATCACGGAGTAAGTGCAGATCACTTAGTTGATTGTGTGCAGAGGTGCAGTGTCTGCTGTGGATGCTCAGGAGACTTCCAGAGCAGTGCTGTACATCTCGACCCCTTCATTTGGTTTCAGTTTATCTTTGATGGGGACATGATACTCTTTTTAGCCTGTTCCCATTCTTCATACATTTGCACTCCACAGCTATAAGGACACAGCTTTGGATTTCCTTCAGCCTCTTCCTTCCTACTCAGCAAAGAATAGAACTCTTTGCCAACTGTTTGACTCTGAACCCAGTGGTTATGAGGAATTGTTCTAGAGCCAACCTAAGGCATATTTTATCTCCCAGAGCGGAGGAACACGAAGAAGTCTCAGGAACTTTACAAATAGGCATTTGGGCCCCATGTGACTGACTGCTATAAGTAGCCACAGAACCATAGAAAGTGAGAGTGGGAAGAGATCTTAGCAATCACCCTAGTCCCTTTGCTGTTCATTCATTCATTAAATGAGCGGAGTGCCTGTAGTGTGCCCAGCACCATGCCGAGCAGCTTAAACAAGAGAAGCCCTCTGGTAAATCTGAAAGAAGCCTTGTGTAAAATATGACTTCAGGGCTGCTTTGACCAAGGAGGGAAAAGAGGCGCTCGAAGCCTTTTATCACTTGCCACTCTTCTTTTGGCAATCCCTAGGCAAGCTCCATGGGTTGAGATGACTCTGATACTGTCCATCTCTCTTTCCCTACGATAAAGGAAAAGAGGGTCTGAGAGACAGAATTACTTTGCCCAAGATCACATTACCAATCGGATGCAATAGTCTTGACTCCCACTCTTTCCATCAGAGCCGTTATAGTGAAAAGGAATATCTTGGCAGGGAATTAATAGGTTTTTATTTCTACCACTTGTTTTGAGGGGGGAAGGTATTGGTTGACGGCAGAGGAGCAAAGGGTAAGAAGACGGACCTACGTGGAATCAGTACTTAAAGCAAGCATGGAATAAATGAGCAGTCTTGGAATTACTCCTCCGAGAGTGGGGCTAACCACAGAGTAGGAAGAGAGGGAACCTGCTTTCCTGAGTCTGGGGTGAGATGAGGTGTGTTTAAGGATGGGATTAGGAAAGAGGAAAAGAGATGTGATTTTACGTCACAACACCAGTTTAGCTTCTACACCTTTGAAAGCTCAAATCAGGTAAGTGCAGATGTCTTTGGGTATCCATATAAGTTGCAGAGATAGTAAAGCTGTGTTGTCTGCATGTCATGTTGCTGTGGTCGTGGGAACTCTGGAATGTGGAATGTATTTAACATCCTCTCTATGACTGAGAGTAGATGTGTGAACCAGCACAGGCTCTTAATTAATGTCTGTTCATCTAAATTTTTCCATCATCTAAAACCCAGGCCCTCAGGGGTGCTCCCCAGAGGGTTTCCACTCCCGCCTCTCCTTGTTTGAATGGAGATCTGAAGTCTGGACACAGTGCTGGTTGTGTTGGCTGTAGTTCAGGTAATGAGATTTCTGTGCTGATTGTGTCCTGCTGTCCATCAGAGGGTTCACAAGGGCACCTGCCCCTGGGTTTATGGCTTAGTAAGTGTATGAATGTATTCCTGACAGGAACATTGGAATAAGACTTTCCCATTGATATTTCAGTCAAAGGCAAACATTAAATGCCAAGTGTAGGTCAGGGCCCTGCTGACCAGATGTGTTGTACTCTACCTGTAGTATCTCCATTTCTGTTCTACTGCCAAAACCATTTTCTCTGTTTTCCTTCTATGACTTCCTCACCTTGGGATGATTTGTATTAAACTAATTTGTTTCAGAATTTTCAAAAACATAGCTGTCAATCAAAGCTTGTGGTTCACTTGACAGCTTTGTGTCGCTTTGCTAAATTTCATGAGTCTTATGGAGACATTATTTCCTTCAAGTTGCTCAAATGCATGAACTTTTAGATCCTGCTTCTCAAAGGATAGAAAATATTGAACCTAGTTAAATAATTAACGTACAGTCGCTCCCCAGCATGGAAGGAATATGAACACATGGTACCTGTGAATGCAAATCTCTAACCTTCTAATGACTCACAAGGGGAGTTTGCAGAATGTCTTCCAGTTTTCCTAATTAAGCTTACCCAACCAAAAAACTGCTGCCACTTCCTGCTATTTCCTCTTCACCAGACCCTTAATTCTCTTTCCTGTGACTGTATCCCAGCTCCTTAACACTTCTTTCCTAATCTCTTCCAGAAGTTGATTTGAGTGTCTCTCCTTAAATACTCTCTTACTTCTTCTTAGGAAACAAAGCATATATTTACTATCAGGAATAGTTACAGGGGTATCTTAACACAGTGGTGGGGGTGCCTTTTTGTTCTTACTATTTTATACATATGGGTATTAGCTGCATTTATGTATGGTGCACCACGTGTATGCCTAGTACCTGCAGAGACCAGAAGAGAGCGTGACATCCCCTGGAGGAACTGGAGTTAGAAATGGTTGTGAGCCACCATGTGAATACTGGGAATGGAATCCAGGTCCTCTAGAAGAGCATCCCATGCTTTTAACCACTGGGCCATCCTACAGCCTCAATGGTAGTTTTTTAAACAACATTTGAACAATGCATTCTGTCTTTAATTTACCCACATTTATTTTGTGATTAGTTCTAGTTGCTCTGTGTATATCTGTATTTTTTTTGGTTATTAAAATGAATTCTTCTTAAGCTATATAGGACGTCCATCAGTCTCCTCTCAAGAATGTGACAGTCTGGTCTCAAAAATAAGCTCTTCATGCTCATGCGATTCAGATACATAAACTCTTGGATCGTGCTCTTCTTCGGGTAGATATGGTGAACCTATGTGAATAATTAAAATAATAATCACTCCCAAATATTGCTGTATTGTAAGATAGAGCATTGTGAACATAGAGTGTTTTAGGACTGGACTGTGCTGTATGCCAGAAGCATTCATGTGACTGAGGAGATGCTGGAGACTTGAAGTGATGGGCACTTGATTTTACAGAGGCATTCAAGCCTAAGTGCATGTTACTTCCACTGTGTTCGAATTCCTCATCTTCATTGTACCTCATGTTTCTGTGAAGTGAGAATGTCAACTAAATAGCAGAAATGTTTCTTCTAACTCTAATACTGTGTGACGTCCTCCTATTTCACCTCATAACAGCTTGGGTGAGGGGAACAGATTTGCCCTTCTGTATAGGAAAAGGAAAGTGACACAGGTTGGCTCAGTTGACAAAGTAAAGGATGATGGTTCTCGTTTCCTCCTTCCTAATTCAGTGTACCTTTGCTCAGATAGTCTGATAGAGTCACTGAATAATCGTGACCTAAAGCATCCTGTTTTGAATTCAGACATGTGGAAACTTATAAATTGCTGTGAGACCCAAGCAGTAAGCTTATAACAGTACCTCTAAATACCACCAGTCCTTTCGGCAGGGAAGCCGAAAAGTTAGTATCCTCACATGTTGATTTGCCATGCTGTACTCAGTACTGGCTTTCTTTTTCGGGTATTAAATGTGCTCTGTAAATAAGTAAGTAACCTTTGCATTGTATGAAAGTATGAGAGAAAACCAGTAGAAATTTTCATAGTGCCTTCTAAGCAGAGGGGAAATAATGACTTAAAGTGTGTCGGTCAGAGCAAGGAAGTTGACTCAATATAAGCAGATCCAAAAGGACTTTTTAGTTTAAGGCAAAAATGAGTCCTACTGGTAATGAAGAGGCAGTTGGATAGGTAGAATACTGTCAGGTGGAGATGGGCTCTTTACGTTGTATTCCGACAAGTTGAATTTCCTGTAGAATAAAGCCACTGGATATTAACAAGAACCTGATACCAAGACAGGAAGGTTTGGTGAGGACTTGACTGCATGCGTGCGAGGTGAGTTGGAAGGGCGAGAGCGAAGCTGCAGGTTTGTCAGGAGACAGGCACTGTTCCTGCTGCCACGTGGGTGGGGTAGTGCGCTTGGAGATTGCTGGGTGAGTGAGGTGTGAGAGACAGGAACTGAAGAAGAGTGGAGTAAAGAAGATTCTGAAGGGCCTTCTACTTCTGTTTGTAATGGTGGGCCTCAAACCCATGGCTTGCCCAGAGGTCTTGCCTGGGGAGTGTAAACTCAAATCTCCACTGACCATGGGGTAGTTTGTGGGGAAGAAGTCAGTTTGCCACACATTGAGTAAACTTAAAAGCCAAGAGGTGGTGAACCAACCATATGCAAGTGTCCTTCTGGTGCTGACTGGATAAACCAAGACTCGCTGGAAGCAGATGCACGAGCCTGTGACAGCCGGGTGTCTGCCACTTCAAATACTCTTCCTTCATGAAATGGCATCTGCTGTTTGCTTACTTAAATCTGAGACAAGAAAACATTTAGTAAGGTGTATGGCACAAGATAAAAAGATTCTCTTCAGAGTAATTTTTATAGACTTACAAAGAAAATTTTCTCTAAAAACTTTACATACTAAAAAAAGACAAAGAACCTAAAGGTCATTTCATTGGCTCTCTGCTTCCTGTACCATCAAATCGAAATTCCCTGAATGCACACCCTGTATTCATGGCCTGTCCCTACTCTCTCCTCTCTTCCAATAGGTCACACCTCGCCTTTCTCATTGCACAGTGTTCACTCACACTGATGCTGCGTACAGATAGCCCCTTCTCAAGCCTTCCTGCTCTTCCCTGTGTGTGTGTGTGTACACGCGAACATGTGTGCTCTATATTGTAAATGTACACTGCTCATAGTTGTGTATACATTGCTCTCCTCTAACCAGCATTGAGGGTTATTCGTCTAGAGGTCCTGATTCCTCATTGGTCCTCAGCACCTAGTAGGTGTTTGTTTTAGCATTTGTACATGTGATTGCTCTGTGCCACCAGGCCAGAAGGCCCTTTTAATGACTCACTAGAAGAAGAGAGCACTGATTGGGTTACAGAAGTGTGTGGGGGACGCATATACTAATTCTCTCTCCTGAAGGCAGCGGTGCACGTTTCATTAAGGGAAGCGAGCCGCTGATGAGGGCTGAGCTCCCATACCCCAGCAGCAGATAAAAGTACTTGCAGATGTGAAGGCAAGAGGCTTCAGGCTTTTTTCACTATCAGCCTGCAGTCCCCATCTCCAGGAAGCAAAGTAGTAAACATTTCATTCCTTTTGTTTCCGTGTTCCGATAATTTCAAGAAATTATCAAACAAGAAAAGAAATCCTAGCGAAGTTGAAAGACACAGACCTAAGCAGATGTTCCTGGAATCTTAAGGTCACACTTCTCAAGCAGCATGTGTTTGTTAGCTTTACAATGAATAATCTGTTGGCATTTTTTTCCTGAGTAAATGAAAATTCATTTCCTAGGAAATGCCAATCGCGTTACCTTCCTGCTATTTAGTAGAACGAAGCTAATGAAAAGATAGCTAAGCTATAGTAGCCTGAAGTTTTGTTTTGTTCTAAATGGGTTTGACCCACCATTCTATGGCATTGACGTGGTGTGAAGGTTTGAACGGGTGCAATAAGAGCAGGTGTGGCTATGAATTAAAGCCTGTGGGGAGACTCAGCCTTGCTGTAGCCTGTTTAGATAATCAAGAACAGAGGTTTGTACTAGAAATGTCTCCCAGCTCCCCCCCCCAGGGAGTCCTGCATTCTCATTGGGTGATTGAGGTCTCCTGATGGAAGATAGTAATTAAATACAGAGTTGTGGTTCTTTTCCTTTTCAAAACCAGTCCAAGGACCAGATTACTATCCTTAATGGGGCTTGGGGGCCTTTCCTCCTATCCCAGTACTAGACCTGCATGGTGTCTTTCTACAATGGTATCAGACACCTGAGTAACTATAAGGACTTGCTTATTGATGCACATTAGTGTCAGATTTAGTGCAGTGTGTGACGTATTTCCTATCTCTGCTTCCCAAAGGAGATCCTGCTCAAGAATAAAATCTTGGTGAGTTTCTCCTAGCAAACAGCAGGAATATAAATGTGCCCACAAGGACTTGACTGGCTCCCTGTGGGGTAGAATTCCGAGTAGTAACCGATTTAGCATGTGGCCTGATACCTTTTTAGTATCAAGGGGACAGCATTGTTTAGAGAAAGCCTTGACTCCATTTGAATAGCTTAGAGGGTGCCAGGAGGAAGGCCAGAGGAAAAGGAAATGGGAGAGCTGTTGGTTTGTCTCACCCTTACATGGATGACAGGAAGTCAGAATGGAGGTTGGCCACAGCAACCTGCTAAGGCCACATCTGTTTGAACAACTCGGAAGTCTTATTGAAGCCAAGTGAGTTGTAGGAGTGGGGAATACAAGAAAGGAACAAGCAGGATGGCAAGAGATAGTGTGGTGAACCTCTCCTGGGAGTAAATTCCTCCATTGACTCTGTCTTTTATTGACCATACCCAGATGAGGTAGGCTGATTACAGAGCTGGCCAGTATCACCTGCATGGTGAGACCAGCCTCAGTCACATTTGACTTCCATGTTGTCCTAATTTCCAGTCACGTCTAAAGCCTTGTGGAAGTGCCACTAGCTGTGTTTGGGTTCAGCAGAGTCACTACAAAGTCTAACAGAGAGGTGCTTTAGGGCTGGTTTTTGTTTGTGTGAATATGGATGGTTTTGCAACTTTGTTTATTTTAAATGCAGGATAGATTCGCGCGCGCGCGCGCGCGCGCGTGTGTGTGTGTGTGTGTGTGTGTGTGTGTGTGTGTGTGTGTGTGTTTTTCTGATGAAGTTACAGATACTCACAAATGCTAAATCATTGCCAAGAAATTTAAAAAATAAATAAGTCGACACTATTTTTGAGCTTTCTCCAAAAGAAAAACAAACAGTGCTTGTAGGCAGACAGATGTTTGTTAGGTGTGGTTTTTTTGTTTGGTATTTTGTGTTGGACAGGCGCATAGCCATGACAATTCTAGTTCCCATTCCAAGTGGAGGCAAACAATCCTGTTTCCCAAATAAAATAGTACAGCATTTTACAGCATTTTGCAGGAAAGCATAGGGCAGTAGCCAGGGAATTTTTTTTTTTTTTTTTTTTTTTTGGCCTGAGGTGAATTATCTCCCTCTTTTATCTCACCTTTGAGGCTGAGCAGCCAGCAGCATTCCAGGAGTGGACTCATGGGCTTTTCTGTCTTCACAGATACCACCTCCTCAAGCTCCTCCAGAAGTTTGGCAAAGTGAAGCAATTTGACTTCCTCTTCCACAAGTCGGGTGCTTTGGAGGGCCAGCCCCGAGGGTACTGTTTTGTTAACTTTGAAACTAAGCAGGTAATCGAGCTCCCTCTCCCGCTCCCTCTCTTAGTTTGCACTGTGTCATGATCATTTTTATATCTCTTGACCACCAGACCTCATGGGCAGGAGTCATGTCTGGTTATTCTCTGTGTGCCTCGCACTGAGCCCTAACGGATACATCCCTTCCACCAGTGACGTCAGTAGTGCGGCTTCACAAGCTTCCTCTTCCTGGGCTCAAGCCAGAAGATGACTGGTTCCTACTGGCCACATGATTTGGCATACCCACATTGAGCATGTGATAGACAGATTTGGCATACCCACATTGAGCATGTGATAGACAGATTTGGCATACCCACATTGAGCATGTGATAGACACCCTTCATACCTTGTTTTGCTTGATGCTTTAGTGGCTGGCCAACCAAGTCTCCTTTCCTTTCGGTCAATTCTGTTGAGGCCTGTTTCTGGTGGAGCCACTCACACACTTGATTCCATTTTATCTTTTAAGCATGTACCCTTCTGGGGATAGGGAGAGGGTTCAGTCAGGCAGGTGCCCAAAGGGTACATAGGAGGGACTGAGTTCCAAACCCAGCACCCACATAAAGGCATGGTGGCACACATTATGACCCCAGTGCTTCACAGGGTGTGCAGAAGGTGGGACAGGCAAACCCCCTGAGCTAAGTGGCCAGCCAGTCTAACCAGTCCATGAGTTACAGGTTGGGGGGGGGCCCTGCTGTAAAAACAAGGTATGAACGGTGGAAGAAGGCACTCTGCATTGACCTGACCACTACATGTGCACGTGTATGGGCCCGCACACCACTTTGATGACACATATGCCCACATAATTTATGTATTTTTATCTCAATGTCTCAAAAACAATGCATGCAAATTTTATTTATTTTTGTGATGTTGGGATTAAACCCAGGACCAGTCTATCTGTTCCTTTTTTTTTTTTTTTTCCTGAGGCAGCCTCACTTGTGTAGCCCTGGCTCTCTGGAACTCACAGGGTGCCCGCCTCTGCCTCTCCAGTACTGGCATTAAAGCTGTGCACCATCATGCCTGCAGGAACTCAGGGTCTTGTACATGCTAGCTAGCTAGATAAGAACCCCTGATCTACCCTACCCAATAAATAGCACACGTTGGTCTACAGTGATCTGTATCTAAGGCTTGTACTTGTTTGTTTTTCAAGACAGGGTTTCTTTGTGTAGCTCTAGCTGTCCTGGAACTCACTTTGTAGACCAGGCTGGCCTGCCTCTGCCTCCTGAGTGCTGGGATTAAAGGTGTGTGCCACCACTGCCTGGCTATGAAATTTGTACATTTTACATGTAACTTAGGATGCAATTAAAAAGTAATCATCAGATGCTGAGTGTGATGGTATCTCTGAATTTGAACCCATCTTGGTCTATATAGTAAGTTCCAGTCTAGCCATGGCTACATAGTGAGACTCTGACTCAAAAAAAAAAAAAAAAACAAGAAAAAATTATAATTTCTGGTGACTGCATAGTATTATATAGATTTATGTTACATGATCCCCAGTTATTAGTTATATGAGTCACCACCAGTAACTGACTAGTATAAATATTATGGAGTGGGTATCTTTATAGCTGTAACTATGTACATTCACTGCATTTAGGGAAATGGAATGAATGGCATCATCAAAGGGCATAATTTTTAGCCAGGCATGGTGGTGCACACACTTAATCCCAGCACTTGGGAGCAGGCACAGGCAGGTGGATCTCTTGATTTTGAGGCAAGCCTGATCTACAAATCAAGCTCCAGGACAGATAAGGCTACACAGCTCAAAAAGAAAAAAAAAAAAAAAAAACAATAATTTTAATTATAACAATACGTTGTAGTATAAGTTTAAAAAAAAAAAAAAAAAAAAAAAGACATAATTTTTCTTAATGCAGTTGCCACAGCTGGGCATGGTTTTACATGCCTGTAATTCTAGCACTTGGGAGACTGAAGCAAGGAGATTGAGAGTTGGAGGGTAGCCTGGACTACATAGTTTAAAAAAAAAAAAATGCAGTTGCCAGAATGCCTATCACAGTGATGTATGGGAGTCCTAAGACTGCCCCCAAAAAAAATCATCTGTCCTCACAAGTCTGAGTATTTTTTATTTCCTCTGATTTTTGAAGATATTATAGGCAACAAGGACATGTTATTATTCTAATTGTCCACTCCTTTTTGGAAGCAATTAAAGAATGGTCATATGATAACTATTTTTATATGTTTTTCCTTAATGATAGAGTGATGAGGATTATTGCAGACAATTAAAATCAGAGGTCACGTTAGGGACACATGTTCATTTTAAAACCCTGGACTAGTGGTCATAAAGCCTACTCTATATTCCTGTATCTTTTCTTACTAGCTTTGAGCAAGTCTCTTTCGGCCTCAGTTTTCATCTAACAAGTGGGGCAAACGAGGAGGCTCTCTCACAGAGGTGGAGGCTAGGAGGGTGTGTAAGTGTGTGTATGACAGTCCGGTTGGTATTTAGTATGAAGTTTGTGAACTTTGAAACAGCACAGAGATGGAAATTGTTCTTCTGGAATTCTTATCCCTTGCCGGCCTCTACTGCTGCAGACGCTTGAGAACTAATAGAGCCCTGGGGCATTCTAAGCTACCAAGGGAGACAAAAGCGTATGTCTCCTGTCTAGCACTCCGCTGTAGTGGAGCATTGCTGCAACAAGTGAACAGCCAGGGCCTGGTACATGGTGGATAGCGAATAATAGGAACTCACTGGGGATGCCGGTTTGGCTACTCCTCAGTCTCAGGTGCATCTTGCCACTGAGGTCTTCCTTAAGGGTCCCTTCACCCCTACTAGAGGTGGGTTACCTTTAGTTGGATGCCTCATGGATACCTGAGGGGCAAAGAAGGTTTGTCAGGATGAGGAAGCATGGCCGGGTTTGCTGGGAGTATATACAGTGACTTTATGCAGCTTTAGGAATTCTTTTTAACCTTGTTACTGTTACATCTGATCAGGGAAGGGTCAGGGGAGTTTGTGCTCTGAAAACTAGGTGTATAGATTGCCTCACATAGGCACGTTGCTCAGTCTCTTGGGACTGGCTCCTGCTTTTCCAGACTGATTTCTTGCACACCATATCTGTGAAGCTATAGTCCAGGATGTGGCTCCAGAGCTCCTGAAGGGAGCACAGCTCCTTGTGTAGTCTGTCTTAGGCCCGCTAGAGCGTGTGAGTCGAGAGGTAGACCTGATGGGGCACTGCTGTCAGCCAACACCAGGAAGCTCCTCCCCTGTTGGCGAGTGCTCACACTACCCCGGGGGACAAGGAGTGACTGCATTTTACAGCTGACAAATAAATGACAGAGGATTTGAAACTTTGTTTCAGTTTTTAAAAATTCAGATGCTGTTGTTTTGCCATTTGAAATTATAAGCCATTTCCCAAGTACCAAAAGCAATTTGCTTAGAAACCCAGCCACTGCAACCTACTAAGGCCCGATGAGAATACAGATAACTAATAAGCATTTGATTTTCTGACCAACTATTGCCCCTCTCTTGGACAGGAAGCAGAACAAGCCATCCAGTGTCTCAATGGCAAGCTGGCACTGTCTAAGAAGCTGGTGGTACGATGGGCTCACGCTCAAGTCAAGGTAAGTCTAGGTGAGACAGACAGACAGACAGCATCCTGCCTCGTCCTCACCCAGTCTCTGCAGAAAGCTGCCACCTCTCCATTTGATCCCAGCCTCTTCGCTTTCCTGCTGCTGTCTTGCCTGATTTTTCTTTTGAAAAGCTTCTCAGGAAGAGAGCAGGTTCCTTCGTTGTTTCTCTGCACATGGCCACAGATCCCGTTTTTGATTGATTTTTGCTTGTGGCTGATGTGTACACTCAAACCTCTGCCTTTTTTTTTTTTTTTTTTTTTTTATGGGAGTTGTTCTTTGAAGGGAAAACAAATTATTTTTGCTGTGGACATTAATAGACTCTTCCCAGCCTCACATCTCTAAGGAGAGTTTGAATGTATTTATTGTTCTAAATGCTTGAGAAATGAGTAGTTTCTCTGTGCGCGTAAAGCATGGCAGTCTCCTTCCAGAGGTCTGGAGAGTTACTATAGTGTAGGTTTGTGGGATGTCTCCAGGCCCTGAAAAATGGCACACTGCCCTGTCCATTTTATAGTTCATCTCTTGAGGAAAAGTACTAGAAAAGCTGTGGCTGGTTTGTTTGTTTGTTTGTTTTCTTTTTCTAAAAAGGTATTCTGTTCCGCTGGCACAGAGGTAGTGAAGTATGTGGACTAGAGCAGTCCCAGGAGACGGCTCCCAGTGCAGTGGACCTGGGCTGACCTGCCCGCAGACAGGTCTGCAGCTGCCAGAGCGGAGCCTCTGCTCTTATCTAGACGAACATAGGTCCTGAAGCATGCTGCCCACTTCCCATAAAGACTCAGAGTAAACCAACCCTCGAATGGAGATTCTCTGCTGAAAAGCAGATCATAAAATTGTGAGGCCTGTGAGCATCTCAGGTCATGATGGGGCACACTTAGTGTCTAAGACAGAATTACCAAGTGCTTTTACTCAGAATAAAATCAAGTCTCATTTGCCAGACTGGCTGGTGTTTTCTCATCCTGCATCTCATTGAAAAGGCAAGCAGGAGAAATTACTCGTCATCCTGTCTCTCATGTGAAATCTCTACCTCATGGTTCCTTTTTGACCAAAGGCTCCTGATTGCTCCTTAATACCACACTTACTTTTCACAACAAATGTGTAATTTATCTTACATCAAATTAAACTCCTTTACTATGTAATGTTTTCTGTATCTGCCACTGAATGCTGTTACTACTTCTCTTCCCCACTCAGGCCTATTAAGAGTTGAATGTTATGCTTGGTACTTCGCAAAATCGACCAGAATTTTAAAGTGTTTTGAATAAAACAAATATTGTAAGAGGCAATCTATGGCAGTTTAAGAATGTGAGAGGGTAGCCCTGCTGTGCATTTGTACCATCTGGAAATTTGAACAGTGAATTCTCAGCTGGGAAATCCTTCTTCTCCCAGTGATGAAGACAAACAACTAGACAAAAGCTTTTCTCAACTTCTCTCCCTAAACTGCTTTAGACCAAAACTAGGATGATTTTTGTATGATATTAAATATAATACAGGCTTAAGACTGGAAATATGCTGAGATAATCTGGGTAGGGTTGGCATGTTTTAACCATGCACTACAGTCAGGAATACTTTCTGCCCAGGTGAAATAATTTACCCTTTTTCTCGATTTCAGAGATATGATCATAATAAGAATGATAAAATCCTTCCCATCAGCCTTGAGCCATCCTCAAGCACTGAACCTACTCAATCTAACCTCAGGTAAGGTGGCGTCTGTAGGACTGTCATTCAATAGGTCAGCCATGTCTCTCTTCCATGCCTTCATTTACAGCACGGTGACTCTTATTCTAGAATAGAATCTCTGGTTCCTTGTTGAGAGATGTATTCAGTATATAGTTCCTCTTTTTCCCACCCACCCCCACCATGATCATGTACCACCATTTATAGAATTCATTCACTCAAAAAAGAACAAGTTTAATTGTCACGTACCACGCCTTGATCTGGGGATACAGAGATACATCAGACACAGCCCTTACCCTGAAAACACGCATTCTTACGAGGCCTCAGTCTCCGGCGTTTCCATCATGTACTAGTTCCTCCCTGGTTGTGGCTTCCCTTGTTTGCAGACATTAAGTCTGTGTACCCGTGCAGCAACTATAGTAGTTTTGTTCCAGTGTGTATGAATTGTCAGTCGAGTTAATTCAGAACAGGAGCACTGAGAGTTGAGGAGAAAAGGGACGTTCAGTGGGTGGTTGAGCAGAAGCAGTTTGGGGGGGGGGGTGTTGGGGGTTTTGTTGTTTTGTTTTTTCTTTTTTTGCACTGTAGCTTAGGGGAAAATTTTAACAATAACAGTAACAATACCCAGGATCTATTGAACTTTCTATAAGAACTTATAAGTACTTTATTATATCCTTTCTTTAGCATATATCCTTTAATGCCATAAAAAGCTTAGAAAAGTGAAATACCATGCCTGAAACTGTGCTGTAGTAAGCAACAGAATCAGAGTTAAAGCCTGTCAGGAAACAGGAAGAAGGTATTCGAAGCAACAGCTGTGGATCAGAAATCAACAATTACACTCAGTCTATCGTAAGATTATAAAATTTGTGATACCTGTTTGGACAGAACCCCGGACAAGAAGGAAACATGTCCTTATATGCAATGTGCCATGAACCCCACAGACTTAAAAGCATCTCACTGAACTGCAAGAGGAAGAGATGGTCTTGAAATTGAAATTAATTACTTAGAAAACAAACATAATATTTTGGGTGTCATTGAGAGCTCATATCCATATGGCATCATCCCCATAAAATCTGATCTCCATGGAGATTTTTATAGTTCTGCTGTATTGATCTCTGGATTTTTGCTTGATGGTCTCCATGTTACAGTGAACATGGCTTTAACTTGTCAGACTCTGTACTTGCAGCTGTTTATCAGATAGCCTGGTGTATTAATACATTAGGATTTTATTGCAATATAGGGCTCTTCTACTAATGCAAATATGGCGCATATTTGTGGGATCCAGGCGATGTTTGAACAACTGTACGCAGGGAAAGGGTCTGTCTCTTCACACATTTGTTCTTTTCTTGCTGACTTTATTTTTTAATTTGTTGCCTATGAGAATGTTCAACCACTGTATGCCCTTTGAGGATCTCTAGAAGACCTTGTAGACACTCCTTACAAATTTGTCTCACTAGCTATAGACCATTGACGGCACCAAGAATGAAAAATGGGGAATCTGCCAGGCAACATGTTGCTGCCTGAGTGCTTTGCATTTTACTCCAGCGATTGCAGTGTCCCTAGTCAGACTTAAATGCCTCTCAGCTCGTGCAGCATCCCTCACTTCATCCTTTGTGTGTCTACAGAGCTATGCAGCTCCCTCTCTGATGCAGAGGGAAAAGCAAAGGCTTTTTGACAAAAAGGCAGGTGGAGTCCTAGCTCTGCAGTTTGTTAGCCTTGTGACTCTCGGGTGCACTTATCCCATAAAATCCTGAGGGGAACCCCTCTTGTTGTTAGAAAGATTAAAAGTGGTAAAGTCCAGAGGATGGTGGGTGTCTGGCTCACTGTATCATATTGGTTAATAAAAAGAAACTTGGGGCTGTAGACATGGCTCAGAGGTTAAGAGCACTGGCTGTTCTTCCAGAGGACCTACATTCAATTCCCAGCACCAACACAGTGGCTCACAGCCACCTGTAACTCCAGTTGTAGGGGATCTTCTAGACTCCAGGGGCACCAGACACAGACATATCTGCAGGCAAAACATCCATACACATAAATTAAAAGAGAGACAGACAGACAAAGAGACTTGATAGGATTTCTAGATTTTTTTTTTTTTTTTCTGATACTGCTCGGTGGTTGAAAAGGTATGGTAGTTAGTGTATTAGTTAATAACATGGGGTTTTGAGCCAGTTTGTATCCAGATCTCAACTCTCACTTGCTAGCCATTTAACGTTTGCAAAATAAGAACTATACCCTACATTCTGACGTCATTGTCGATCTATCTTTGTCTACTTCCTGACAGGCACGGAGATGCCACCTGGTGTCTGTGTCTGAAGACTAACTATATAAGGCCATGTGAAGTATGCAGAACTGCCTAGGCTTAGGTCATACAAAACATAACTGGTTGTCAGACTTGACTTTTCTTGGTTCATGTTTATAGTTTCATGTTAGGCTTCCCTAATACACATGAGTGTAAGGAGGGGAAGCGGGAGGGTTTTCTGAATGTCCCCGGCACGTTCTGACCCTCTGCTGTCCTTTTCCAGTGTCACTGCAAAGATCAAAGCCATTGAAGCGAAGCTGAAAATGATGGCAGAGAACCCTGACGCAGAGTACCCGGCCGCACCCGTTTACTCCTACTTCAAACCACCAGATAAGAAAAGGACTACTCCTTACTCTAGAACAGCCTGGAAGTCTCGAAGATGATGATGAGTTACCAGAGCAGCGAAAGCAAATGGTCTCCATGTTTGAAATCCTTCTCCTTTGTCTTTGTAGATGTGAATGGTACTGCCAACAACACAGTCACATGTTAGGGCTGCTAACATAACGTGTTTGGTATTCATATGGATGTGTCTTCTCTGAACTATGTGTGGAACTGAGCATCATCCAGAATAAATAGGAACGTGTCCAAACTGTGATTTGAACACTGAGCTGCTCTAGTTGGCTGCTTTGTTTGGATTTGTAACTCCAGAAACACAATGTGCCAGAGAGAAAAGCATACAAAGTTGTTATTTAAATCAGGAAACTAATTTATTAACATCTACCAAAAACTTTGAGCACTTTTATGTATACACATCTTTTCAACATAAACAAAAAATAAGGGTGAGGGTGGGAAGTGAGAGACATTTTCAGTCATTTTTAGAACTGTTTGAGAATTTACTGTGGAAATCCTTCAGTTGGACTAAAAAGAGAATTCTTGGCAAAAAGCAGCTGATCCCTTGAGTGAATATTGTAGCGATCTGTTTAAGAATTATGCTTATTATTTCCAAATCTCAATTAGGAAAACATGGTGTATGTCTTAAAATTGTTTATGTCAACAAAGTGTAGAATCAAATTTAGCATTTTATATCACAGCAGTATTCTATTTGGAAATCCAGCTTTTATTATTTGGCAATCATGGTTTTAAATCTGAATAACCTTGCCTTCTGTAATACCAAATGTTATTACTAACCTGGATTTTAATACCCTCGCTCCAAGAGACTGTTTTATAGCATGAAGTTGTTCCAGTTAGCACCATACCCTGATCAGTCTAGGTAGAAAAGAACATTTCTCTGAGAACCTAAAGTTTACTTCATTGGTCACTCTCCACCATTATTTTCCAGCAGTTCTGTGGGGTGTGAAAAGTGGCTGAGTGACCTTGTACAGCTAAGGAGGGCAGTGCCGCCAGTGCTTGGGCACCAAGACATAACAACCACATGTGTTCTGTCATTTTGGAAGATGGCACAGCTTAAAAATGAGTCTTACTCTGACAGCATGCTTCTCCCCAGATAGCTTTGTCTTTGGATATACTGAATATGATAGTATAGAGACAAACGTAAACAGACAGCCTTGGGTATGTGTTCCTTCAGCTCAGTGTTGATCATTTTGGTGCCGGACCTGACAGACTGTTTCATTAGCAGCACCATTCTCCGCTAGGCAGATCACTGTCACTCACCACAGGTGCCACCCATGATAACTTGGAGTGTAGAAACTCAAGTCTCCCTGAGGTTAGACACTTGACTCAATCGACCTCTGAGGTTTTAGAGTCGACAGAACTGCTTCGGAGGAATTCTTACCACTTTTCCCAAGGCCGGTCTTTTTAGCTGTCTTTAGATATTGAATACTTCCTGAATTTATTAGTTGTGTGTATCTATGACGCAAGAAACTCTCTTTCCACTTAGGAGCTCATTCAGGGAAGTGGGAACACTGGCTCCCATTTGTCTGGTGACTTCTTAGACTGTAGACTTCACCGTTTCATCCTAAGTTCTCAAAGGGTTGTGGTGGGGTAGAACTTGACGCCAATAGCCTTCTATTTTTAATAGGAACCTAGAAAATACTTAGGATTATCTAGAGTTGTTTCTTTGGAAACTAGAACTATTTATTTGTATTTAAACAATGTCTATGATTTGTACCAATTCTTACCCCTCTGTGTGAATAAACGCAAGACGGTATCTATGTGGTTGTATCATCCTTCATCCATGTACCAGATCACAGCTCTCTGGTAGGCTGGTTCCACTCAAATTGGCCAGCAGATTCAGGTGATATGCTACTTTCGAGTGCCTTCTCTCCAGAAGGTTCCGTGGGCCCAGTCGATTCACCCTTTTCCCTGCCTCACTCTGCCATTAGAGATGAAGAAGGGGGCTAGGTGGTCTCAGGGCACGGGTGATTGGAAGGAAAATGGGAGATTGAAGTCCCTGCATGTATCATAGAATGTCCCTCTCTCTAAGTAGAACTTTTAAAAGGATGAATGTGTACATTGTAAATGTGCTGAAAGGGGCTGATGAAAGGCTTCTAATACAAGTGTTAACCTGACAGCTAAGAGGTTATCTGGGCAGTGGCGGTGGTGGCACAGACCTTTAATCCCGCACTTGGGAGGCAGAGGCAGGTGGATCTCTGTGAGTTCGAGGCCAACCTGGGCTATAGAGCGAGACCCAGGACAGCCAGGGCTTTTACACAGGGAAACCCTGTCTTGGGCAGGGCGGCGGGGGAGAGGTGGTCTACAGTTTGAAATTATTCTCTGGTTTGCTGTTTTGTCAGCACCGTCTCGCTTGTAGTTTTGACTGGTTTGATGGAAATCCTGAGGTGGGAGGTGTGAAGTGTCAAGGTCTCAGCTCGTGTCTCATCAGGTGTACAGCGTCACCCTGACCTGATAGCTTTCTGTTCTGAGGGAGAGGATCACCTGAGGAGAGGCTTCCCAGAGTGCTCTGTGAGTAGGTAAAGCCAAGCATTCTACAACCCTGTCTCCTGTTTATGAAGACGAGCATTTTATTTCCAAATCGACACATTCACCTCTGGTTTTCAATACTAGTGTATAAAAGAACAAGATATTCTTGCCTTATAACTGAAGAATTAAACATTTCCTGTGTGTAATCACCGTGTTCCTAAAATATTTGAACCCAGCAAATTTGTCCTTGATTTCTTTCTTTTTCTTTTTTTTCCTTCTTGCTCCTATCTGGTCCATTTTCCCCAACATCTGGAATATGAGTACTACTCACCCAGCACTCCTGTTCTGCTCAAGTCACAGCTACTGCAATATCTCACTAATTGTCCCCTGCCTTTAAAGACACTCCCACAGAGAGGATTTGCACAAAAGATTGAACCCAGGAATTTGCATGTGCTAGCCAAGTGCTTTATCTTTGAGGTACATACCTAGTCCTTTTAGTGTTTTTTTTGTTTGTTTGTTGTTGTTGTTGTTGTTGTTGTTTTTCATTTTGAGAAAGGGTTTCACTCTGTAACCCAGCAAGCCTTGAACTTGTGTCTCAGGCCTCAAGCAGCTGGGCTAACAGATCTTGTCACCAGACCCAAGAAGCTTTTGGTGGTGGTGGTCTTGGTGGTGGTGGTGGTGGTGGTGATTTTTCGAGACAGGGTTTCTCTGTGTAGTTTTGGTGCCTGTCCTGGACCTCACTGTGTAGATCAGGCTGGCCTCAAACTCACAGAGATCCGCCTGCCTCTGCCTCCCAAGTGCTGGGATTAAAGGTGTGCACCACCACTGCCTGGCCCAAGAAGCCTTTTTTAACATTTCTTTTGAAATGTCTTTTTTAAGCTATATACAGTAACGTATATATCAAATCTGTAGTCTCAAGTACTTGAGAGGCAGAAGTAGAGCCACATAAGTCCAGAAAGCCACTGATAGCGTGGACCCCAGAGCAAGACTTAAAAAGTAAAAAAAAAAAAAAAAGGAAAGAGAAAAGAAAAAGTTACTTTCCATGGCTTTCCATTACATTTAGAATAAAATCCAAAAATCCATATGGTCCCAAATGACTTGTGCTTATTTACCTGTCAACCCTGTGGCCTCTTCCCTTGATGACTGCACTCAGCCATGTGGCCTCCCTGTTCCTTTGGGTTCAAGGGAGCGGTTCTCTGAGAAGTCCATTAGTGGCTGCTGTTGCCTGAGATGCTCATGGGCCCACACCATCTGGTCATTTCTCTGCTCACATATAAGTGATTAAGAGGCTGTCCTTGGCCTCCCATTAAAACTACATCCCTGCCACTTTCCAGTTCTTGCTTTTTAACTTTCTAAATAGAACCACTACCCAGCATTCTATATAATTCGATATCTGTCTGTTTAAATATAATGTTGACTACAAGAAAGAACTCTGTCACTGCTATGTCACCAGACACTTAAGACAGTGCCTGTCATGTAACACATACTCAATGGATTTGCTGATCCATTCTGCTGAGACCAGAATCCTGTTTGAGAGGTGAGACTTGTAAGACCATCCCATCTCACTCCTTTGTTATCCAGGTGGAATATAGGGAACCCTAGAGAGGTGATGTGGCTTAGGCAGGATCACACGGCTAATAGATGCTATGGTTTCAGTGTGTCCTTCAAAGGTTCATGTGATGAAGCTGAACACCTATTGTGAAGTATTAAAGGTTGGATAGTGGAGGCAGGCATGGTGACACACACTTTTGGTCCCAGTACTTAGGCTGTAGAGACAGGCATATCTCCATGAGTTCAGGCCAGTCTGGTCTACAGAGTGAGTTCCAGGGCAGCCAGAGCTACACAGTGAGACCCTGTCTCAATAAGAAAAGGAGGGGAAGAAGGAAGAAGAAAGGCAGGAAGGCACTAGATGCAGGCACACATCCCTGTGACTCAGCTTGTGTACCTCACATACACCGCAGGACCCTGTCAGTAAGATGGCCGCCATTAGATGCAACACCTTGGCCTCTGGTTGACTTTAGAACTGTGAGCGAAAATTAACCTCTAGCTATAAAGTAGCCTACCTCGTGTACATCATTATAGTGAGGCAAACACAGCACAGTAGAAGAGTAGAATCTATAAATGTCAGGGCTAAAACAGCTCCCCAAGTGGCCACTGCTTCAGCACAGTGACACATGCTACCTCTGTGTGTGTGTGCAGCTGTGAATGTAAGTGCTTGAGCGGAAAAGTCAAAAGACTCTTGTCTTGTGGCACTTGAAAATCAAATTTCAGGGTCCAAGGAAGTTTTAGTTAGAACACAGATGTCCTCATGAATCCACGTAATATCTCAGGACATTTTCCATTATAGCAGTATTGGAGTAATTACAACAAAAACCTGTGGGCCCTCAAAGCCTGAAATTCATATCTGCCCTAACTGTCCTGTTATTGGGAATGTCTTCCTGCCAAGGAAACATACCCACTTCACAGCCATAGACACCATCATGGTGTCTACAGAAAATACAGAAAGCAGATAATGTGACGCGCAGTGGATATCGCTGCTTCCCCCCCCCCTCCCCCGTTATGTGTATGGGTGTTTTGCCTGAGTGTATTTGCACCAAGTGCATGTAATGCCCTTAGAGGCCAGTAGAGGGCGTCAAGTCCCCAGGAACTGGATTTAGAGACAGTTGTAAGTGCCTCAGTGGGTGCTAGGAAACATGATGCCAGTGTTCTAGGACAGAAACCATCTCTCCAGCCTCCTATTGCTAGTTTCTTGTTTGCCTCTGGAATAGGGAATTGTCTGTACCCATCCTGGTATCACTGTACTGCATGTGAGAAAACCAAGCCACATGAGCACTGGCATCAGATGTGCCTGGGTTAGTTTTCCAGTCCCAGTGAGAACTCTTTCAGCTCACATGAAAAAAAAAATCAATGTTCCAATCACCTTGTGGTATGAATTTTATTGGCTCATATGACTGAAAAGTCCAGTGTTCAAATGATATGTTCAGAAGTCTGTTTTTGGATTGTGTTTCCTCTGGGTTGAATCCATTCTCAGGCAAGCTCTCCCTAGTGATCTCAGATCCATGAGAACCTATCCCAGGCCACAGGACACTGGGTCTTTACCTTCTTCCCTCCACATTCAGTCCAACTTTTACTAGGACTATTGATGATGCAGAATAACATTTTTTTCATGTGTCCGGCTACTTTCCTAAGGTAGAAATGACATTAAAATGGTTGTAGCCTTTTTCTTCCTAGAACCTTCACTATTTGAGATGCTGTTCCTGCCCTTCCCCCAGCCAAGGAAACACATTCCACAGCCATAGACTGTAAGGATGACAAAGTCTAGCTCCAGTGCATGGTCATGTACTACGACAAAGGCAAGAGCAGAGGAGAGACCTCTAACACAGGGACAGAGGCAAGCGAATGATGACTTCCTGGAAAACACCTGTGCTAAACCAATGACTTAGGAAGAGCATTGGCAGGGGTAGGAGGTCGGATGGAGAGATCAAATACCTGGAGTGAGAACACTTGGGATTTAATTGCTCTGTAAGTAAGGTCTGTCCAAGTACCTGCATGTGTAGAATAAACCAGGTTTATATACTTTTGCAGTCTGCCCCAATGTGCCATCTCCCTAGCCACAAGAGACTCTATATTCCAAACTAAAAAACCTCCCAGATCCACTCGCCACCACCACTACCTGGGCTGCATTGCTGAACAAGACACTCCTTCTACCAAGAAAGTCCTATCTTTCTATAAATCCTTAAAGGGTGACCCAAAGCAGTTACTACCTTTCTGCTTTGAAATACAAGTCCTAGTGCCGGGCGGTGGTGGAGCATGCCTTTAATCCAAGCACGCGGGAGGCAGAGGCAGGTGGATCTCTGTGAGTTCCAGGACAGGCTTCAAAGCTACATAGAGAAACCTTGTCTTGGAAAAAAAAAAAGGGGGGGAGGGAGGGAGGGAGGGAGGGAGGGAGGGAGGGAGGGAGGGAGGAAGGAAGGAAGGAAGGAAGAAAGAAATACAAGTCCTGTGTCAGCATTTCTCACTATACAATCTGCTTTGTCATTTAAAAATGATCACCACTGACTGAAAGGAAGATAAATCTCATGTGCTAGGTTCCTCCCAGAAAGCAGACAAGGCCACTCTTTCTATATCTCAGCAGCTCCTGAGACTTCTGTCTGTCTCCATAATGACATCTCAGAAGTACCCTCCCAACTCTAGCCTCCTGAACTTCCTCCTGAACACACCCCCTGCCCCCATACCCTGACCAAACTGAGCTTATTAAACCTCCTTGCCTGTCCCTAATTGCCCAGCCTTT